GGATGTCGACATCAAAAGAAGAAAAAAAAAAGGAATGAATAAGAAATATATAAAAAGCTATACTCATGCTAGACAAGTGACGTCACATATATATGTATAGACGTAGCAATTGCAAGAAGCTGATGAGAGAATGTATAGTAGCAACCGATCTACGTAAGCTTGCAAGTCTAAATGATTCACGTGAAGCAATGCATGCGAATGTTATACGTGAGTGCGTGACGACGTGACGTGAACGCGCATATCATGCTAATTTCATTAAGTATAAAGTTTGTACTAGTCTGAGATGAAAGCAGAACGTATGAATTAAAATATAATTAATATAATTTCATTTAAGCAACTAATTGGATGACGGACACAGCAGAGCAATTGCTATCACAAGGCTGACACACACAGCACGAAAAAAAAAAACGTCTAAACTCGAACAGAAATAGCTGAAGATTAAAACAATTTATCGAAAAACGAGAAGTTTAGCCAAAGCTATGAATTTGAGGAAAATAAGAAGATGGTGAGCTTAGACTGGGACTTGATAATTCGCTCACATGTCTATTTACGGATGTCCATTATGTTCCAATGACAGAGACGTCGTCCGCCAATAGGTGGAGTCAGCTATTGGCGTTGATTTTCGACGTGAATATTCCATAAATTGATGGGATATATAAGGAGAGGGGAGTATGCGTTACATTCATTTAATGTTTAGAATTATTAAGAAATAATTAGAATAAGCATGCATTCCTTCTAGATGACAAAACCTAGCCAGCTGGCCGAATCAATACGAGTGAGAAGCAGGCATGTCTCACTCTTCCTCCTCTTTCCTCACTTCTCTCTCATTCGCTCTCTCTATACTTCTAATTCTCATTGATGTTCTTACTCTCTCCCAAAATGATTCCCTTTTACATACTTTTCGTCTTCCTTTTTCCCTTTTCTCCTCCCTCCCTCTTCCTTTCCTTCTTCTAGGGCTCCTTCTAACTTTCCAATCCGAACATAATATCTGATAAATGAAGTAAACGAACAACACATATTAAGGTAAATGAATGAAATGAGCTGAACTATGCTGTCCTGCTTATGTATGAGTAACAACGACATTCACAGGGAATAAGCTCATTAGTAGTTATAGCATACTACTACTCGTCGAATCGAATATCAAATGTATCGACGAGGCCAACTTGTTGAGTGAGTTGCGCTCACATCAAAAGAAACTTCTAATTTTTTCGAAAAAGAGAAGGAGGAGTTGAATTTTGCCTCCCATGAAAATGAGTTGAAAGTATGTAAGAGAGAGAGGGAGAGAGAGAAAGATGGAATAGAGGGAGAGGATGAAAGAGTAAGAGAGTAAAAGAAAGAACTACGTTTACAACAATTCATAACTGAGACGTACTCGATGAAGCATCGTGTTTGGGGACAGACAGCCCGAATAAGTCAATTGAGAATGGCAATAAAAAAAAAGTTTTTATTAAAGTCAAATTGCTTGGATTATCTCCTTCATTTCATATATGTGACATAGATCTAACAGGCTATACATGATGACATTTTTCAAAAACTAAAAGAAAACGATTAACTAATGAAGACCAGTGACAAAAGTTGTTTTACTTCTTGAGGATGCTGAGCGCTTAGTTGGTACCATCTTTTGAAATCTGGATAGACAGGATGTCTGACTTCGTGTGGCCATCGTAGGTGATTCGCTTGTTTCGCTGACCCATTTGGATGAGATTTCGCGATTGAATATTTTTATGAATGTTCCTCGAATCATTCTGTTACACGTTAACGAAATGACAGGGTTGACGATTTGATTAAAGATTGACGTGCTGAAAAGAAATGAAGTGTAAGGAGAAGCTCAGAAGAGCTTGCTGCAATGAGCATCAGAAGGGACATGCCTGTAATTGAAGATTGTGTAAATCCATTGAAGAATCTCAGCTTTATCTTGAAAATAGAAATTGAACATGCCTGTCACATTTGTCAGCTGAAAATAGAAATTAATTGTCTTCCTTCCTTCGAAGCTCATTAACAACCTCCAAAGCCAATGTTATAACAAATGCTTGCCACAAGAATGACCGATCTCTCTTGTTCGCTTTATCGTGAAGTGTATCAGTGCTTGAACGTTTGTTCATGATTGCCAAAACTATTATTCCATACATAATCAACATGATGATTGGCAAGATAGTAAAGGATAGATTAAAGAACTGCAACATCGTTAATCCGTCAGCTGGCTCGCCACCTGTAGCTCAAACCTGTGTCAGTATATTGCCTCCTAGTAATTGATCAACCAATGTTAATTGGGATAATCTCTTTTTGGAGAATACTTTGATTGTCCCATATATGACATTCCAAACAACAATGAAGATAACGTATAGCCAAACGATAATTGCCATGATCATTAGGTTGCGCCTGCAAAATACAGATTATTCATAATCATCCACGCTGCCAAGGCGATGGCTTGTTGAGAGGTGATTGAGGGGGGGGGGGATACAGTGAGACATCTATATGTATCTGTTTAAAAGTTAATTACCGAGAAAAATATTCCACCAGAGAGGGGAACACAAATACTACGAAGCGATTGATTGTCATCAACAACGTCAAATATAGAGCAGCTTGCTCAGAGACTGCCATTATGCGTGAAGCCCATGTATACCATACACTGTTCTTATCATCATTCAACTGAAAATTTGCAGCTGGTTACATCTCTACATAACAACTTGACTCACATCTAGCAGCATAAGCGGTAAAATGGAAGTGATAATGCAGGTAACATGAATAGCATTGGCTGCCGTCAAATGCCATACGATGACGAAGAAAGGATACTGAAAAGGTTTTGAGTGTTAGAAGTCGAATGTCTTCTTTTCATTTCTTACTTCATCAAATGTTTTGTGACCGAGTATCAAAACTAAGATGAATACGATTATAGAAATTACTCCAATCAAACATAGTGTCCCAAAGACTGCTCCGGCGGCAATTAAGGGCACATATTGTGACGTAGTGTTGACTTCTAAGTTGATGATGGAGCCAGTAGCAACTAATCCTCCCTGAATTTTAAGGAGAACTTAGACATTTCCTCTTTTTGGTTCATTTGTGGGAGGAAATAGAGAAGAAGAAGAAGAAGGAGAAGAAGGAGTAAGAGAAAGAGAACTAGATGAAGAAGCATAAGAAGAAGAAGAAGGGAAAGGAAAAGACAAAGGACGAAACAAGGGAAGATGGATGCATTCGTACCTCAACTTGGTCAATTACAAGGACCGGAGTTGTCGTAAAGAGAGGAGTTGTAGTTGGCGGATATTGGATATTATTCATATTATTTTAATTTTATATAATTAGTATTATTACAATTAGTGTTGGATAGTATGGAAGCTGAAATAATTCCATTTTGAATCCAAAAACAATCAAACGAAGTTGTTTCAAACACTTTGAGAGCGAGAAAAAGCAGTAACCTGTTCAAACGTGACGAAGGAGGAGATAAATAAATAAAAAAACAAACATACAGGTGGAAAGTGAGAGAGAGAGAGAGGGGTGAGAGGGAGAGAGAAAGAGAGAGAAGAGTTGCGGCATAGTTGACGACGTATAAGGAAATAACACAATCTAAACTAGTAAACAGTAGTTATCCAGGCTCGAACAAAATATCAAAACTTTTGCATCCAAATCAGAAACATTCGATTAACAAGTTAATGATGTCATCAGCTCCATGCCAATGAATCGAATAACCATTTGCACACAAGGGGAGAAGGTAAATGAGACCTTTTCGGGAATTATGAAAACCCTCGACTGAAGTCCAGTTCGTAGAAGTTTACGCTATATGCTCATCTCTTAGAGATTCATAAGTCATCAACGAGCTTTGACGAATCAAACTTGCTACGAAATGTGTACTTCACGAAACGTCTATAAATGGAAATTACATGCGAACATAGTCGATTAATTAGATGAGCAGTAAAGATCAGGTGAAATGAAGCTGAAGATGGCAGATGCGTGAATGAGCTACAACATTAGAGAAAAAACGTTTGAAAGCAAGCTGGCACACGACTCGAAGGAGGCACACGACGAAACGAAACGACACAAGTATGCAAAGGACAAGAGAATGAAGCGAATTAGGACTGATAGGCTAATACTCTGAGGCAAATGAAATTATGTCCAATAAATCTATTCATAATTGCCTTACGAAGAAAAAAAAGTTAGTTGAGACTCCGCGCTGACAGACAGACGCCGGCGATGCCGACAACGACGACAACGACGACGACGGCAACCAATAGATTTTCAAAATTTTATTAAAAATTTTCTCCACACAGATCTTTGTTGCAAAATATGGAGGTAAGTTGAAATAATTGTTTATGAACAACGCTCATACTGACAATAAAAAGGAAAATGCAATCAGAAAAGTTGAAAAATAAAAATTATTCCATTTACATCAGCATTTGAACTGACAGTGTCGACGAAACAGAATTGACTTTCTATTTTTCTGTCGTCATCTTCTGCTTCGACACACGACAACTCGCCGGGAAGGAAGGCTGGTGAATGAAGAACGTTTGCAAGGATTCAAAGATTTGATGGAGCAACTTCGTTCTCTGAGCCATACAGTTAGATCTGAGAAACGTTTTCGTAGGAAAAAAACTCGAAATTTCGAAAACGGCTGGGAAATCCAAGTGTGAAAACAAGCAGGAAAAAGGCAAACATCAAACAAACAACCTATTTGTGATTCTTCAAAAATGCAGATGAAAACATCATAATTAGAAGATAAGAGTGTGGTCTCTAAGGAAAGGATATGTGTGTGAGTATGACGTCCTGGACGATTAACTCTCTAGAGCTAAGCTACAATTAAGTGACAAGGAACTTTATGGAGATGCCTAAGTGGGATGTTTACGTCATCAGAGTCTATTCTGTTTTGAGCAAGCAAACTATAGAGGCAGGTCGAGGGTATACTGAATGAGCTGCCTGATATTCCGTCGCGATTTGCAAAGAGCCTAATATGCGGGTGACTTTCAATCATACGATTCCGCGATCACAGATGATTGGATTGCAAAACCAATTCATTGGACTGAATGTTCAAAGAGTTTAGAATGTCTGAATCAAGAAAAACATTCAAATTATATAAATAAAGATTTACGGCGAATTAAAGTTTGGAGTCGGGAAGAAGTATAGCGAAGGAGGGGAGACACGAATGCAACCGATCTTTGAGTCTACAGAAGAGAGCAGGTGAACAGCAGAGATGATGATGGAAAGAGAATGTCCAAAGATGGAGTAGACAACATACTGAATCACAAGTCACTTTAGCGGAAAGTTAATATGTGATCAACTCTAAACGCAGAGATCAGCTTCCGCCTTTGTCCCAAATTAAAAAAGGAGGCAATGAAGAGATATATTGGCTGTAGTGATGAAACACCTTCTTCCAAACATAGTACAATGAAATATTAATTTATTTCACTTTAAAATTGCATTTAATGTACTTAATTCAATAAATTACTGTGGCATTGCTTAGCCGGCTATTGCCAGGCTCACAATGCACAAAAAAAGGAAAGCTGATTAGATCACAATAACTTCTGCTGGAGCATCAACGTTCTCTGAGAATGTGTCGCCGAGCAATAAATCTGGTGGCACCATCGTTTCCTCGTTCACATTCTGATTGCTGCTTGGATCATCGAATGTTGCACGACTGTCTACTGCAAAAAGCCGTTCGTGTTGCACAAAACGAGAAAGCATAAGCATGTTCACAAACCCATAGTATATTCGAATGTTAGACTGACAGTATTCTTTCGAGAGTACACCATGAACGGTACCATATTCGTCTGTGACAAGAGACGTTGATTACTTGATTTACAGCAAAACCTATAAAAAGCTTTTATGAGGCAGTTTCTGTGACATTTTAAAATTATTTTAAGGTAGTAGACAAGTTGATGTTTGAGGTCTTTCAGTCATGATTTTCCGGAATGTAATACAAGTTATCAGCCGACCTATTGCGGAATGAAAATGTGACAAGACGTCGAAACACATTGATGACGAAACTAATCTCTGGTCGGAGATACAAGTAATCATTGTTATCATTGGGACGAGTTGAAACCGAAGGAAGCTACTGGAAGGGGGATAACTGTCTCTGTGTGTCTATGTGTATGTGTGTGTGTTGAAAGATGAATTGCTAAATCAACCTATTTGGAGCTCTTTTTCAGCACGCATTTTGTTTTGACGGAAGCTTCACACAGGAAAATGAAAACGGAAAATTCCGAAGCCAATCCTCACCTGTAACCCATTGGACGATAATCCTGTTTCATTTTGAACTCAGCACCATCATGATAACAGCCTTCTAAGCAACGACCTTGCATTTTGACTATATTAACGAGTATCCGTTTGCCAGCCGGAGCCTATAAAACCCTAATCTAATTTTCCAACAATAAAATTCAAACCTGCAGATGATAAACACACATCTTTTCTTTCACTGGACCAAACTGCTTAATTGTAATGTCGAATCGACGAACAGCTTCTTCAGCTTTCAAAGTGCCTCCACAGCCTTAAAACAGGTACTAAAGCTATTAAAACGAAATTAAGGATGTCTACCCTGTGAGAATGAACTGGCTACCGTCTGACATAGAGCTCCACCAAAGCCTGATGGACATCTTAAGTCATTAAAGTTACAGAACAATAACAATAAAGATAACATACTTGCATGAATTACAATTACGCGAGTTGATGAAGCCCCCGTTTTGACAGTTCAAAGTGTTTCGGCAAAGTTCTGCATTTGAAAATGAAGCTGAAGTATCCATTATGACTTACTATGGCAATTGTAATGCTTGTTGAGAATTGCAACATCCAAGAAAGATGGACCTTCCATCTGTCCCATCGTCTGTTGAAGGTTGGGATCAACTGCAAGTAAAGCTGGTACTCGGGGATTACTAGAGAATCTGAAATCGAGAACCTAAACTTCATTTATTGTTACTTGTAATAACTCAGTTGGAGTATAGTGCATAACGCTTCCAACGTCATAAGGAAGGTCATATATCCCTAATTCAGATCGTGGAATCTCCAAATAAGAAAGTGAAATCGGAATTTGGAAAAAGAAAAACCTTTGCGAAATTGAAGAGCAGAGAATTGTGGATCACGCGAGTGTTCAATCGCACGCTTCCATCTCTATCCCATCGAGACTGTTCATGGAAAACTCCAAGAGCATGAGCTAATTCATGCGAAGTGACGCCGAACTGTAAAATGAGAGAATCTTAACAACAAATCTCAAAAATCACAACCGCTCGCAAACAAAAATCATTTTTCAATCAAAACAGACGCTGAGTGGTTGCTTTTCACTTTCCACTTCCTTTCACACGCTCACATATTTTTATGACTGACAGAAGCAACAAAAATTATGTGATTTCATCTCTCTTAAAATTTTTTCGAGAAATGAAAATCTCACGTGTTCACAACCGGCTCCAATGCTGACAACTTGCCGACCATAGAGATTGTCTTTTCCAACAGTACTCCAGCATCCATCATCATTCCCAATGAAATCTAGGTATTGCCGTTCACCTCGTCGTTGTCGGAAGTTAATACACGTTTCTTTCTGCCAAAAGCTGATGGCTCTAATAATGGAAGCACGAGCGCCGGACGCTTAAAAAAACAAATGAAAACGCGCCCCATTGCGAAGGGTTAGGTACTTAGTGTTCGGCTAAGGACATAGGGTACACCTCCAGACCAAATGGTAGCTGGATATTCGTAATTGACAAAAGCTTTCCTACGATAACGATGATGAGCATGAACAATTCTACTCATTACCTTCTAGCTCTCCTTTGCTTATTTATATTTACAATTTTCTGAAGTTGATCAGTTGGAAGCAGCATATCTCCTTCGAACAAATAATCTCTGAACACAGTTTTAATAAGCTTTATGCTCGTTCATTCAGCTAAAACCTATATTTCTGATTAAGCTTAGTCAGATCTACATCTCGTTCTTCGAATGAATGAATAACAGATTCATCCTAAATCTCTCAATTAGTTCACTTCAAACGAACACGTCTTCTCTTCACTTACAAATGCAATACGTTGTCCAGCGTATTCATTTGCAACACTGGCAGATATAGTGTCGAAGATTCGTTGATTCTGATTAGGTTTGACCAAATCCAGTAGCTGAAAAAGGACATCTGAGATTGACGTAGCAATTGAAGGACTTTTTTAATTTCCAGCTTCTGCACCCCCCGTGTTGAGTGTTAAATGCTAGAGGAAAGTCAAAGCTGGAGACATTTCCTGTCTGAACGGAGATCACTGTTGAACTTTACCCTAATATGATAAAAATGAACGAAGTTCTCTCTTTTTTGTTGTAAGTTTTCGTAGATAAGACAAAATAGTTCATAAAACCAGTCTTGAGAAGAAGCCGAACAAGAGAAAGAGACTAGAATAGACGAAAATTATTAACTCGCAGTAGTGGGATTTCAGGAACTGTCATATTCCTTTCATACACATAGTTACATGATGGCAATAGAATTACGAAACAATAGAGGATCACTGACTTACGACACACCCTATACAAGTATAATATGAGAGCAGACGAACCGTAAAATCAGCTTGGGCAAGAGTATTGGCAATCAGACACAGGAACAGGACAAAACTTCCGATCATCGGGAGCGTACGAAAATCTGTGGCTTGTTCTGACGATGTTAGACGAGTGCTTAACAGAATAAGCGCCCAGTTCTATCTTTTTCAATGTTAGCGTTGTCTTTCTTAAGCTACGCAACCGCTATCAGTCGGCGCCACCACTCCTCCCCCCTTTAGGGATATAATGATATCCCTAACTTCATCTACATCGTACAAAATCAAAATGCATTTTATTCAACATCTATATTTACAGAGAAACCTTCGGAGAAGAAAATGAGAGATAAAGAAGAAACAAAAACGGAAATTAATGATAAACTTTTGCGTATAATACACAGAAAAAAACAATCTTATTAAACTAACGATCTATATGTATAATTATATGGACGGCGTGGGTGCTGAAGATTGTAACGAACACACCTTCTGATGTTTCTTCAAATACATCTGACGTCGGAATGTATTGCCACACAGACAGCTATAAAAAGAGGTTGTTAGCATATCCTGAATATCATAATCGCCAATCTTTTATTTATATGGAGCCAGCCACGCATTTAATCTCTTCTACCTAAGCCCCCAAATTGTCATCCCTAATGATATGCTTCTGTTGTTATTCATACCCCCCTTTTACAGCAGTTGTGTTAGCTGCCAGACTCAAAAATGAATGAATGTGAAAACAACCGGTGAGGCGATATCATAAACAGAGCCGAATAAAAAAGCTGATAACAGTTTTAATCCCTCTTCTCACTAAAAAAGCCAGCTCCACACGGCTACAAGCCAACAAGCTCGAATATTATCTGGCTTTCGCTTTCTCACAACGACACAAAAAACTAAGATCGCCTTCACCAAAACAGTGTTAACAGAAGGAATGGGGCGGTGCTGTATGAAGGAAGAAAATAGTACCTGAACTTTACATCTCTTCGGTGAGTTAACTCGTGCATCTTCAAATCATTCTTACGGACAAAGGCTTTCTCACATTCAGCACAAACAAAAGGTCGGATATTGGTATGAACACTACGGATATGAGCAGTTAAAGCCTTAAATACAATTGCTTATCTGTCGCGATTAGAGAGAAACTCACTTTACTACATTTATAACCTGGATGATCACATTCCTGATACGGACATTTATGTAAATGATTCTGATGAACCATCTGAACATGCCTTCGCAGCCCTGGATGAAAATAGCTTTTTGAATATCAAAAGCATCACAACAAACCTCCTCGTCTTCCAAATCGTTGTTCACACTGATCACACTTGAAATTACGTTCCTTTCTGAAGCAATTGATTAATTATTAATAATAATATATAAATATGAACATACAAGTGCTGTATGGCGATATGTTCCCTTAATTGAAAGGCAGAGGCAAAACTACGATCACATTCATCACAGTCATTACGAACTTTGATAGCTTCTTTCTTATGTACATGAACTTTTTTCATATGGACCTCAGCGGCATTTGGAGTTCGAAAGAGCTGAAAGAAAACAAAATTATTTTTCAAACACAAACGAAATCGGGATATTTAGAATTAATTCAATATAACACCTCTGAAGACTGCAGTGGGTTGAAATCAAATATTCTAGTTGGACTATTTCTTTGGCTCCTTACTGCTTCAGAGAGTAGAACGTTACTCCAGTTAGATGGTAGAAAATCTTGCGTCTCCCCTAATGACTGCTCTGGCGCACAGAATTTGCTCTTTTTAAGCTGTGATATGGTCTTCTCCAGATTCAAACGTTTCTTCTGGACTACTTGCTCTTGCTTGCCTTCGTCTGCTAACAGCTCTAGTAGAGCAGACCGACAATCACCAAACGGAGCTCGTAGAGGTGGAGGAGATTCACTATCAGGCAGCGAATTTTCCAAACCTATAGCTGCAAAAGATATATCTATCTATACAGAATTCAAACACTGACTAGATGGTACGGAACCGGTAGCTTCTTTAGTCATACGTTGAAGTAATAGAGAGAATAGTCCAGTAGGAATAAAAGAGTTATTTAGAGGAATAGAGTCCTTATTCATAATAATAAGTGTGTAGTGAAGAACTTAGATTAACTGTAGAAAATATAAAGTTGATTAGTTGAGAAATCAGCTGCCAAATTGTAGAACAAGTAGACCAGTCAGCGAGCTTTACTGAGTTTGAAAGAAAATGCAGACTGGCGTCGTTAAACGCCTTTTCCACGCAGTCTCATTAGCATAAACGTGAACTTGCAGGCATGGCGTTAACTTGCGGCGTAAATAATTTACAAAAATCTCTGCGTCAAAAACAGCCTAATAAAAAAGTTAAGTAACAGTATTAGATATTTCATCATCACGAATGATTATTAAAGAGAAAACAAAAGTTAATACACACTAGAACTTTACTTCATCAAGATAACCTCCGAGTGAAACATGGACAAATCAAATGAATTATATGTTAAGTACTTTCTCCGAGATAACGAGAAAGAGAACGAGAGAGGGAAGTATATTAGCTAGCTGTTCCTTTGAAGGAACGAGCATGCCAAATGGAAAAATAACAAAAACTCAGCTGCTTTCGTCACCCATCAATGCTTCCTGTGATGACCTGAGATAATTAAATTATCTAATATCAGGTAGGACCATCACATGATTCATTATGATGTCGATAGCAAGGCTTTTGCATCCAGAAAAAGATATGCGGAGGAGGCGCACAAAGCTTCCTCACTACAACCACTGAATACGGAGGTGATATTAGCAGTGATAAAGTGGTTGATATGTGTTGTCTGGCAGGAGAGACCGCGAGCGCCGCATCGATCGTGTTGGGAAGCGGTTGGTTGTCGGCTTTCCGTTCCGTTCCTCTGAGCAGCTCGTTCCCATGGATGAACCATATGAACGATAATATAGCTGGTACGTTAGTCAAGCGCGCACATACCTCCCCCACATTATACTATTCCATCCCGAACGCACTCATCAATAATAAAAAAAATCTGTCACCTGGGGGCATTTTTGGCAAGTATACCATTTCTTTTCTATTTTCTTCATTGTGCCATCCGGTTGTACATGGAATAGGAATAAATGGGAGGCTACATTCTGTTTCATGGTAAAAGAAGCATCGCAAACATCGCAAATGTATTTTTTATCACGAAACCTCGTGAACTTTTTTCGGATTATGGGAGTTGTAACAAAATCCTGTAAGGCTAAGGGGTAAAGTTCAAATCCGACACTAAGTACCTCTAACGAAGATTCTCTAATCTGCTGTTCAGCTTCAAATACCTTTCTTTCGTGAGTGGCTATAAAGTCATTGGAATTTTCAGAAAAAAAGAAAAATAAAAGAAATTCTACCTATCTTTATAAGTATGGACAACGTGGATTCTGGGGTTTGTTTCGTACTCAGTTCATCAGGAGTAAATGAGATATCAGGTATAATTTGTGGTTTGTCTTCATGTGGTGGTGTGATTGGACAAATTTCATCAGCATAACTGATTCGAACTTTTGTAGGCGTTGTTTGACCAGCGTGTTGTATTTTACAATTTTGGCATAAATCAAAAAAATGAACGAAATGAAGTTAATGAAAACAAACCATTTTCAATGCAAGAAAAACATAACTCAATTGCACCTTCCGCGTTAGGGGGCCCGTTATAAAGATCGAGGGTGGACATATTGATTTTTCAAATTTAGAGTAGATCTCCGGAAACGACCAGTCTCTGAATTTGAAAATGGAAAATGAAACTCGTACGCGTGAAATCTCACGCCGCAGGTGAAAGATGTAATATGCTAATGAGACGGAAATAGAGATAAACGGTCATGATTCAAAATGGAAAATAAACAAATAAAGCAATTTTAAATCAAATCAGATACTTCTTAGTGAACTCCTCGACCTAAGAATACAAGGTTTAGGAAGTCGATACTCCAGAATGGTTACCTCGGTTTTTCTGACGTCTCCTTTGACGGCTAATCCCATTATTAATTGGACGACCCGAATGATATCTGGTGCGAAACAAGTTAGTTGTACTAGCTGCAGCAACTGAAATCTCAAGATAGTCGACCGGACTCCACGTCATGCAATTACCAAATGAACTTGATCAGAAAATCTCAGCTGATGCTTCTCTCTAACCTCCGCCATGGGCAATTCATAAGCCTCTTCTGTATATTCGAGAATGATTCTTTGATTGATATGCAAGTGAGTCTTGTTTGTCCCATCCGCTTCCATATTCTCTTCAATGATTGTCGAGAAAGAATCATGGAAGACCTATCGACAACATTCTGTTGCAAAGATGAAAACAAGAAAATCACACCAAAGTGTCCAAAACTGTCATGAAATTAGCCGTCACCACACGTTTACTGCACGGGGTAGTACTCGGATCTATGGGAGTTTCTTCTTGAGACTAAAAAATTTGAATTTTGAACTATTGCGAAATCTTACGGTGTCTCTATCCAAAAACGCACTTGCGAATCTACGAGCGTACTGGTCATCAACATCCGGTCGGAAAACAAAACAAGCCTTTATCTAATATTTCCGGAAGTTATGGAATGTTTATGTTTACTGAAAACCTCGTCAACCATCTTCTTGCACTTATCTATGTATGCGGAACTCGACTCCTCTAAAGTAACAAACTCTATCAGTCCGAGATTTTTCAAGCTCTGAAGATATACTTTGAGCGTGAGAAAATAATTCCAAAAACACCTCATACATAGCAACATCATCAACCATAGGAGCTTGTTTTAGTTTTTTGAAGTAAGGCTCCTCATAGTATGTAGGCAGTAGGACTTTGACCTTAGAACAAAATAAGAATTTCAGTTTTGTCCGATACCATGTGTCCTCGAAGGGTAAAGTGCATAACAACTTGTAGTAGTCGACGAACACACAGTTTTCTCGTTGAATCATACATTTTCAAATCATGAAGGAAACAAGGCTTGTAGGAAGAATCCAATGAGAATGAAGCAGAACATCCCTCTAGGAAGAGAAGGCTTGACATAGGCCGAACAGTTCATAATTTACCGACTAGGACAGGTCTCAATAACCTACCAGGCTGACGTATTTTCAACCCGATTGGATAGTCATCTTCGTTGAGAATAAAGGGGTACATATCTAAAAGCTCAGAATGGACTTCTGATTTTTTCTGAAAACTACCACTGTAAGTTAAAAACGGTAACACAGCATCTCTTTCTTCGGAAACTTTTTGAATTACATGCAGAATGATCTCGTCAAGTTTTGTTAGTGAACTCTATCAACAAGTTGCTTAGACACTCATGTATGTACTCACATCTAATCCTATGAAGGCGATACTTTGACACTGCTTAGTAATATATTCTGGGTCAGAGTCCCTACAAGAAATCAAGCTGGTGAACCATTTTCTCGTAGAATACCTTTGATCTTGTAACTCCCACAGCCTGGGATATTCACTTGTCTCGCATTTAACATTTGAATACGCCTAGAATAGAATATAAGAAGGTTCAGTCGAGAGATTCACCTCTCTTTTGGGTTCTCTCCATTCTTCGTATACCAATCTATGGAAATTCTCATTCTGTCGTAGGATTCTGTCCCGCCTGACACTAGGATCCTGAGCAAAATGCGAGGACTGAGTCAGGTGGTAACTCGTATCGAACTCACCTCTTCCCTGCTTGCAGAATTATTTGAACTTCTCATCTACAGGGGAAAGTTATGAGAAAAACAGTTTCATGTTGTATCGATTTAATGAAGGTAAAACCATTTATAACGTAACTACCGAAATCTGTTATTTCAAATATTTATTGTGTATAAATTGAAAATAACAATGAGATACTTGTCAAGGAATTAAAAAAAGTAACGAAATAGTCTTAGTCAGTAGCATCCTCTGCTCCGCCAATGTAAAGAACGTTATTGCATCTGAAAGTTTAATCATTTGGGCGCGCGCTCATTCACAATATATTACCTAATCAAGACTTCTCCAAGGCTTCCAGTGTTGTTTCCGTCAATGATTTCTTCAGCATTGGCTAATTGAAGATTCATGTACCCGTCAACAGAAACGAGAATACCTGCATTTGAAGAAATTAAGAGAAGAGATATAACTACAATGCAAACCTTTGTATTCCATTCCCCATTTCAGCTTGCAGACGACTGATTTTCCAGTTAAACTGTTAAGGAAAGGCTTGGGGTTGACAATGTTCATGCTCGACATCTTCTACAAATACTTATTTTATGTTATTTAATTAATATCTCAAAAAAAACGAATAGAAAAATGGCTTGCAAGAAAAAATGGTTCTAAAGTCTGCGCAAATCGAATATGCTTGAATTCGAAAATGTACGCAGTGCGTCCTTCTCAACTACCGTAACCCATATATCTTCAAAGGCCACCTTTGAAAGGTGTTTTCAATGTATATTAACTCCTATTGCCGGAATTTCGTCCACCGAACAATGTTGTTTGAAAAAAAATCTTTTCATAAATTGTTTATTAACAGTAGTACTGATTACAAGATTCTAAATTTACAGGGAAGGTATCATCTTTGCGGAGACGCAAGAGTTGAGGAATGACTTTCATCGTTGAGTTTGACCCAGCTCAAAGTATTCAAATGACTCCATGTTATAACTAAGAATCAATTGATTTGAAAAATATTTTTACAAGGTCTCCTGTATAACTGGATATGCCCATAGCTACCAGAACAATCAGAATATTAGTGACAAAGCCGAATTTTGGGAAAAGAGCTGCAAAAAAATTATTTTGCCAATCTGTTCTACGAATTCACCTCGTTGCACTTGTATGTGGGAAATCAGGAGAAAAACTTGTGTTCCGAAACGATAAGAGAACTCATTACTCAATCGAAAGATGATGGATAGCACCACAGCAACGTTACCTAAAAAGAAATAGAAACTTCACAGTTATTTTCCTGGCCAACCGTAATATCCAATTATGGTCGATTCAGCGATGAAACGAACACTCCTAGGTTTGCTGGAGATCCTGTCAACAAGCCAAGTGATGAAAGTGAACACAACGAACTCCGTGGAACTTTGAATCAAGCTTTTGTAAAATCTGAAAATGTTCGTAGATGATCATATTGCCATCAAGCGTTACTTACATCCATTCTAAATCATATACTTTCTTGGCGTCTAATAGACTTGCTCTCTCAGTTATCCACTTATCATAGGCTTCACAGAAACAGAAGATAATGGCTAATCGTAAGAAGTTCTTGAAAGTTGACATAAGATAGTTCTCCTACTGAGCTATTACCCCCTTTTCCACATTGTAAAGGAAGTGCTTGTAGGCCATGGAGTAGTGGATGATCAAATCGATGACGATGAGAACACTATCATATTCTATGTATTTATCCACGATCTCACCACAATTTTCCTGAATACTTGGTTAAGAGTTAGGAGAGATCTTCTTACACACTCTTTCAGCCTAATGACTTCTGACGAGAACTTATAGTAGAGCTCGGAACAAGGGTGCATACAATGAATACAGACATATTCTCTTTTGTCAGTCATATCTTCAACCTTACATGCATGTTATAACTATTCAATGCCATCAACACTCAGGGAATTCCCATCAATAAGAAAACTGATCTTTGTAAGAAAAAAAAGTTCATTCGTCATATAATACAAACAGTCAATTTACAAGCTTAGTCTGCTCCGCTTCCTTATGAGGAAGTCATCGTCATCGTCATTCACATTTTCCACGATTGAATCGTAATATCTGAAATGAATGTTTGAGAGTAGGATGCACGGTAGCTAGGAAATTACTTTACAACTTTCTTATTAGCTTTAATTACACAAGGATCAAAGCCAATTATCTTAACCGAATCTAAACTCCTAGCTCTTGAAAGTGCCACGTATGCTTGGCCTTCGGCAAAAGCCCTGAAATTCGAAAGTAAAATGTAGGCGCGTAAAGGGAGATTCATTTCTGAATGAGCACTCGGGCAGAGCGGTTGTACGTAATATTTGCACAACGCGATATAAACTATATTAGGGTTTCGTCTAAATATTCCAACCATACCTTGATAAAGACATCTCTACGGCATCTAATGTCAAGCCCTGAGACTTGTGAATAGATATAGCCCATGCAAGTTGAAGAGGCAACTGTTTTCTCCAAACGTTCTCTTCAACACCCGGTATCCGGACGGAGAAAGTCATTGGTCTTATCTTAATAGACAAAAAAAACTGCTCATTTGAGAATTTCTAAGAAAACCTCAATTTCTTCTTTTGTGGAGTAGAATTTGATTACAGGGAGGCCATTCTTGGAAAACTTAGTTACCACTCCTCTAGAACCATTGGATAGCCCCCTGGCCAGATCGAGATTTTTAGTAAGCATGACTTGGGCTTCTACTTTCAGTTTGAGAAGTTTTGGAACTATAACTTTAAGCTTGTCAGGGATCCTAAAGTTTTCCTCCGCTTTGAATTCTTTTTCAAGAGCTAAATCACAAATGAGAACAGTTTTGGAGTTGTTTCTTACTTTTGAGATCACTTAAGCTCTTTAAGTTGATGATGTCAGCATCGGCTGTGTGGGTGCAAAGTTTCGTGGGTACAATCCCTCGCGATTCGAAATCTACATCTCTTGTATTTTTGAGAACTTTCGTCATTAGAGGATCACATCTTTAACAGAGGATATAACTCATCCTCTGATTGCGTATAGCTTACCGTCCAATTCGGATTTGTTGAAGTAGATTTACAAACTTCTCATCATCTTGTCGCTTGACACTCATCAACATAATGGTTTTGTGAATGGATTTTCTCCATATCTCTGTCTGTAGTACGAATGTGTGGTCTCATGTCTACGAAATAAGAGACATACCTCAAAACAGAATGAAGGCTCTTGGTTGCCAGACGTTACGGGTGGAAGTTGCAGGAAATCACCCGTTATGATTAACTGTATGCCACCGAATGGGCGACTTATGCCTTTTATGTTTCTTGCCACCTATAAAATGGCTATGAACTTGGCCGTTTTCAGGAAAGGACTAACGTATTCTAAGGTTTTGAAGTAGGTTGCGTCTATCATCGATATTTCATCAATGATCAGATGAGTACAGTTTTTCCATTGCTTAGTTGTAGCAGGATTAGCTAAGGCCATCTAGAGAAAAGAAGAGCTTTGACTAGATCTGACTAACAGTTCAAACCTTCAAACTGTTTTCGGGGGCTGCAGCTCCGACACCTATACCAGCAAAGCTGTGAAGAGTGATACCTCCTAACTGACAAGCAGCAACTCCTGGAGAGTTGAGTTAGAGAAGAGTTGACAATAGAAATGATACCTGTCGCTGCCGTTACAAAAGTAGAAGAAGCTGGGAGAAGTTCAATGATCCTACGAAGAATTAAAGATTTCCCAGTTCCAGCACTGCCTGTGAAAAAGACATTCATCTTATCTCTCACAACAGCTCTAACAACACTCTTTTGCTCTTCTGTTAATGTGAGTCTCTCGAATGTCGCCTTAAAGTATATTGAATACGATACTGTATCTACGAGATTAAACCTCTTCTTGTACGGCGGGTCTTTTCGCTCTTGTTGGGGTAGTAGTTTGTACATTTCTAGACCCCAGAATACGTTTAGGAGTACCAGAAACTTTAGCTCCATGTGCTAAGGGTGAATCTCCAGTCGCGATACCCCGTATTCTGAAGTTATCTCAATGAAAGTGAAGAGAACTAATACAAACCTTCGTATGTTTCTGATTTCTCCTACTGTTAGTGGACTCAACACGTTGAATACCTTTGGTAATCCATTCAGGAGAGCTTGCCTATAACGATTGAGGGATGAAACTCAAAGTTCCGTAACCTACCTTGCATTCACAGGCGTCTTCATCACATCATTAGATTTGGCTAAGTCTAACTTTGCTTGAAGAGATTTTAGAAAAACATTCAGTTTCCTTGGAGCACAGTTTTTGAACATGATCACCATATCTCTGAAAGAGCGAGTACTCAGTTGCACTCGTCTTCTTCCAGAGGCTTACTTGGAAGGTATAGCAATGCTTCCTTTTCCTTCTCCGATGAGTTTTTGATGTACAATGCAGCTTTTAAGCGGGTAAGATGCAACAGCTGGATGAGCTCCATTCCGTCCCGAAACAATTTGGATTTGAAGAAGGATCTCCCTATAAAAGCAAACAGTGAAAGACGCGGAGACCTTTCACACTAACCTCTGATAGTTGCGTCCGAGCGTTAAGATAGCTTCTTTAGCATTCACAGCACTCTTTTTAATAATGCTTGAAGTTGATACTATAGATATTGGACAGTTAATTTCATAAACGTAATTACAGGTGGTAGGACTGGGTTCCATTTGAACGTTTAATTATGGCGCGCTGGACGCTGACATAAGTAAGGGGGAGGCTCTACCAGGTCATTCATGTACGTAATAGCTTTCTTATAGTGTGAATTAATTTTTATTAAAATTGTTATGCATTAGAATCAAAAAAAAAGAAGATAAAAGACAAAAAATATAATAGCAAAGTACCGGTTTCTAATCGAAATCTCAAATGACTATTTCCTGAGCCCCATAGGGGTCAATCAGATATAAATTCTAATAGAATATCCTATCCTCGTAGCTAATGAGGTAACAGTGTATTATGAAACAATATGATATTATGCATGTTTTCCCAGAGATGAAGGTGGTGAACACTGTTTACAGCTAGAGTAAAGATATCCTAGAAAGATGAAGACAAGGTTTCCATCTTTCTAGGGCGCATCCTCACATCTTATCCACTGGCTCTATGCCTAGCAACTTCATGCCTTCTCCTAATACAGCTCGAGCTGTTGAGAACAAGAATAATCGAGGTACGGCGATCTATAACATACGACTTGATTCATGTCAACCGGAGCAACATACCTCTGTGGGCTGATCTTTCACAGGTAATTGATTCATACAGGTTCCAATAGCGTTTGATAACTGAATCAGGTAGACAGCCAAATGACAAGGCTCTAACTTGTCATTACTTTCCGTTAATACCTAAACACTGATGATTTGTTTCTAGACCGTAAGTTAGATAACCTGTTCAAATTTCGTTAAGAGCTCTACCAGAGCTTGCACCTCGTTTCCTCCTTCAGGTAAGGTTTGACAGCTCTCTAACAAAGGTAATAAATGCTTGTTCCGTTCTTCAATAGAATGAAGTCTACTGTGTTTCATCTGAAGTTAAGACATGTTCCTATTAAGCTTAAGAATGAACATACTTGTAAAAGCAATGCATTGGTTTGATTCAAAGTAAATGCGTTTTGGAAAGAAAATTGGTATTCTGAGCTTTTGGCTCTTTTGAGATCATTGAAGAGGATAGTTGAAATGGCTAATTCCTGAGCAGTCTGAAAGGTTGCCATTATAATAGTTATTTTCTGCTCTGGTTTCACCTTTTCTTTCTCAGCTTCATCGTTGACTTTAATAGTTTTCGATTCATTTATGAAATCGAGTGCTAGCTCTGAGCCCTTTTGGATTATATCGAAAACAGCTTCTGTTTTTCCCAACCTGTAAAATTAGCATAATGACCGAGTAACGCGGAAACAGGGAATCATTTTGAAAGATGTGGACGTGCAGAGCGGTTGTATGAACAAAGAAGTAAAATAATTACCTAGTAGAGAGTCCTTTTACTCGTCCGTATGGAACATGAACCACTTTCTCTGCTAATTCATGACAACCCATCCTAGAGAGAGAGAGAGCTCAAAGTTATAACTTGTTAAAGCTCAAACCTTTCCAAAACAGCTTTTAAAGCTATAAAATGAGTTCTCTGGGCTCGATCAACTACATACAAATATTTGTCGGCATTATACATTTCGTCCCTGGCCATAATAGCAGCGATTTCCCTGAAAACAAAGGCATGATTAACTTTAAGTTTTGTTTTGACTATAACCTTGATAAATATAAAGTTGTTTCATCGCTTTTTCGAATAATCGCATACTTGTTGTCAGTTTTATATTTTTGGCCATCGTAATCGATAACCCAAAGTCCATCATCAGTCTGAACAAAGAATATGGAATCGAGCTATTCGTAATGACAACAAACCTTCCTGGCGATGCCATCACTGATCAGCTTATCAACTAATACACTCGATTTTTTAATGTATGCAGATTCACAGAGCCAACTTAAATATGTTTTTGCTCCCTAAGGATCCTTTGTCCTTTCTGACCTGTCAAATTCCAGGTGTAGTAATTTGTAGAACTCCATAAGATGTTTACGAGAAATGTCTCCAACATCACGCCAAAGTTGCAGAATAGGAGAGTCAGTTTCAGAACTAGAGAAACGCCTTAGAAAGCTGATAACGAATAAACTCTACTTCATTATCTGTTTTTCCATATCTTGATAGACTTCTCTGACTTTCATACGGAAATCTTCTTCCAGCTTAGCTTTATTATTAGCTACAACATAGCAACCTGTTAGCATTTTGATTTTATCCACGTCGCTAGACTGATTCCAAAATCCTTCGGATGGCTTCACCTGACATGTTTATCTTTATGCTTAAGATAATGAAGAAGCAAGAAAAACCTCAGGCCAGTAGGAGGCAATCATCGCAAATTGGACACCCCAATCACCTAGGTAATTGACGCCGATAGCTGTGTTTCCCAGAGAATTATTAATCTGAAATCCGATGAATCAATAGTGGGAAACAAAGTGAAAGCCTCACGTTACGGATATAATTGCCAAGTATTGTTGATCTCAGGTTACCAATGTGAAACTGCTTAGCTATATTTGGACTAGAGTAATCAATAACAATTTTCTGTTTCGATGCTGCATTGGCAACAGCTAGAAGCTCTTTTAACCCTTCTGGATGACGAAACCGATGAAACAAAGCGGCCATCTGGAAAAGCAATAAGTTGAAGGTAAATGGCAGAGTTGTAGAAGCGGAATAGAAAGCGATAAGTCCTCAGAGAGAAGTTTCTGAGGAGAAAAGAAAGAATGCTTATGTTTTTTGGCAAAAAAAAAGGTTATTGAGTGTATGTTGTAAAAATCATTAAACTGGCAGTGTTGGAAGCCTGATAAAGGAGATATCTATCCGTGGATTAATGGCTAATGAGGGAAACGACATAGCAAATATCACTCTCCTTCAAAGCTGCAGAAGTAACAGAGGTATGAACCAATCTCAAAAGAGCAAATTGCGTTACACGAAGTCCGCTTGAATTATTTAATTTCGGTTCTTGTTCACAACACAACAATGTTTTCTACGTTGACATAAGTGAGAAGAGCATCCAATTAGAGTAAAAACAAAGACTCAAACATTGAAATTAAAGGAAGTTTTGTGTGAATTAGGAAAGACATAGTTGAATATGAAAATCGTCCTTTAAACGTCCAGTGTGGGCAAATTAGGCGACAGGTTCTGATAACGATTTGGTTAATCGGAATCGCATGATTTGAGTTGATATTGGGTTCGACAGCTCATGTTCTTCGCGAGTATCTGTTCGTCTTCATCAACACAATTCGTATTCTGCATTCTTTCGATTCTAAATTTCATATTGAAAGTCAAAAATAACAAACAGCAGTACAAACTGAGCAGCTATTGGTTCAAAAACTCCGTTGAAACTTCAAGTTAATGTCATAACACACAAACATTTCAAAGATCACTCTAGGAGATCCGAAAGCATCTGTAATGAAAAAAACTTCTGAGGGGAATTTATAGTTTGATAACGAGATGGGTTCAAACAAAGGTATGATAAGACTGAAACTTCGTAACACACCTGATAGAGAGCCATGCTCGCACTCGTATACTTGCTCCTTCCCAACTTGATGTAGTTACGTAAGTCATTGATCATCCCAACATTCAATCCAGGAAGTCTGTTGAAATTTTTTTTTTCCGGATTTCATTGCTTTCACACAGCTCACACAACCGCCTATTACTTATAGTTTGAAAGAAATGAAATACCACCGCCCACGTGAATTTCACGTGTGTCTGAGCAGTTGTGCGGGGGAGATCAACTATGACACATCTTCTCTTGGTACTCCTATCTTTCTCAACCAGGAAAAAAAGTCTCGAAAACACAATTTGCGATCATCACACTGATTTTTCGTCTATCGAATTCGAAATTACCTGGAAGAGTATGTCATTATGTAATTAGATGATTTGCCGAGGAAGTTGGATAGCAAACTTCAGACACAAACAGTTTCAGACCTACAAAGTCATAAGAAAATTTGAATTCAAATTATAGACAAGCTATGCAATGTATTTGAAGAAGCTCACATTCTATCCAACCACTCGCAGCACAGATGGAACTTGAGCCATCACTCTCAACGATGAACTTCATGAGCATCTTAACGGCAAACTCATAGCAGAGAGAGTAAATTTCAAAGAACATATGAGAATATGAGACACGGACGAAATTTGATTTTTTTAAAAAGAAACTCTGAACCCACAATGATTCATGTCTCTTATCAAGTGAAGGATGACCGTTATGCAAAACTTGCTGGACACTGACCATGGTCAGAACTTTGTTTGATTTTTTGCTTTTCATAGCACTTTTATCAAAATAATGATATTTGAAATGATTCAATTAGAAGAGAGTGAGAGAGTTAGTGTCAAGACCTCAAATTGGACGTTGAAAGCGCAAAATGGTGGAAGAGCTGGGTAGCAAGTAGAATAGTTTAGTAAACAAACGGAAATTCTTTCTGTCGCGAGAAGCTTTAGATGAGATTTCGTCATCAACGTGGAAGAGCATTCCGTTATCAAGGAGTTCAGGAGAAGATGACGTCGGAAACTATATTATTTCCAAGAGAAGAAATGAAACACGACATAGGCAAAGATAGTGGAGATGAGGAAGCTTTCCGGATGAGCTTCAACAGGCCCACTGCATTGGACATCTATTCAAGAAAATTTTTGAATTCAATTAGTTGTTGACCAGTGGTCTCAACCCTTCCTCATCAAGGACTATGAAAGGGTTGAAGTATTGATCATGAAAATGTATTTGAGAAGTTTTCGGAGAAATCACCTATCGGAGAACCAAACAAAGATCATTCAATCAACTCTTTCATTCATCAAAATGAAATAAGTATATACATATCACTGTACAGATACACCCAATATTACAATAACACAGCAAATACTCGTCTAAGACAAATACATTCAACACGCATCAGAAGCGAAAGTTATGCTTGTTCGCAGTTAGAAAAGAAACTATTTCAAGTTGTTCAAGTGAATATATTAGTCAAATATCGTTATTTTAAGTTGTCCAAACTAACAACATGTTACAATCAAAAAGAAAAACCAGCATTTCGTAGAAGCCGTAATAGACCAGCAGAACTTAATCATAGTTCTCCTCCAACAAGCTATTATCTTCACCGTCTTCCAAGTCAACTCCACAGATAGTGAACCAGCATCTGAGAAATGTGTTTGACTCACATGTTTGCTCATATGTTTTCCCTACCTGGTACAGACGTTCTGTTCTCCAAGATTAGGAATAATTACTCGTCTGAAGTAAGGTCCGATAAGAATGTCGTTGTATACAAACATTCCGAGAATCAACAAAGCAAAACCAGTAAGCTGAAACCATATAAGTTATCAAACTGGTATTTCCATGATACATACTTGAACAGCAATGAACTCTTCACCGAAGAGAGGAATGCTAACAGCCCAGATGATCAAGGTTCGAACACTGTCCAAGACCATACGAGTTGTTGCAGAGAGTTCCTTAGTAACAGAGACTCCAGCAAAGTTAAAGAAAGCAATACTGAAAAAAAAAGAAAATGAGATTAATGAAAGAGCGAATGCAACCGGTCTGAGCGGGTTTAGGTTCAAAAATGAAATGAGAGAACATTCTCATTCGTTACTCACCTGACAACGGTACCGGTCAGAGCCAAAGCAATAGTTGGTACCTCAGTGATTTCTTTCCAGGCATAGAACACATCCTTAAGTAGAGCATGTTAATTGAAAATATTAATCATCAACCCGAACCTCTAAACGTCCTTCAGGGTTTGTGGAGAATGTTCTTGGAACATGAATGTAGTACATGGGTACCATGAGAACACAAAGGATAATGAATCCGAAAAGTCCTTCAAGACCGACTGCCAATAAAGCGGGTACATCATATTGCAATAAATATTTTTGCTCATAAACCATTTGAATGGCAACGATGATTTGAGCCATGATAATCAGGAGATTACCTGAACCGTCAATCATATCATGAAATGCTCTTTGCACCTACCTGTGATAATAGCGTTCTTGTCAGCCATCGGATCGTCATCATACACAATATCGGTAACTCCAACTACAATCAATCCCAGCATAACAAACAACATTCCGATCCATTTGTAAGGCTTGATAGAAGCACCGAGCATTCCAACCGACAACAATCCCGTAAAAATGATGACAGCTCCTGAAACGTGTTGACTCAGGATGAATTTTCTCTACTCTTAGAGGTACCTCGAAGCATCTGGAAAGAACTGGCAGTAGTCAGATTCAATCCGATGTACATGATGGAGGTAGCCAAGATATCACAACAAGCGGGGAAGAGGAATACATATGGACTGAACTTTGGAAGAGTGGGTTGCGGTCCAGACGATATATCAATGATAGAGGCTTCATCGCCTGAAATAAAAATAAATAGATAAAGAAAGACAAATGAATGAGCACCTTGAATGTTGAGACGGGACCAACGATGCTTCTTGTAAGCAAAACTCAAGAAGAATGCAATGAGGCAGAGGAACTCTCCAAAAAACATACAAGCAGCCTACAAAATCATGTTGTGATATAATTGATATTTGATCTTTTGAACCTGGAGGAATGGGTGATTGAAAGCAACTCCTTCAGCCTTAAGACTGTCAGCCCATTTAGCAGAAATGGTATTAAGAGATCCGGTGACAACCATCATCACCGAGATGGCGACAGCAAAGCCCGGCTGGCTCGGCATGGTTATTCTCTAGAAAGAAAGTCATTTTTTTACTAGAAACCGAAAAATCAGAGAAATGGCAATAATAATCGGGAACCAAGTCTAAGGCGATAAAAATGTTGTATAAAACATATTTGACCAATTGATAAGACGTAGATGGGAAGGAGCTTCCACCCCTTATACAGCTCATTGAAATGAACAGAATGATTGTTGAAAAAAAGGTTTGAAAGATAAAAAATGTATGAAAGTCCATTTGGTCATTTGCAACCACAAATGGAAATAAAGGACTAACGTATTTGACATGATAACTTTTTCATTCGAAAATGAGTACGTATATTGGCGATTACGACTGGGTGGGAGAGGGTAGGAGGAGATATGTTTGAAAACCAAAGAATAAATAAACAGACAAATGCCAACAGCACTCCCAAAAACTATTTTACAATTTTATTCTTTGTGTTTTGCACTCTGTAACGTGTCCTCCAACAGCAGCCCACATAATGTCTTTGAGATGAGTTAAAATCATAATTCGACATGTGTTGTATTAGGAAATCTGGTTATACCAGATGGATTGGTCAATCCTATTAATAGGATGTTTACAAACTACGTTGCAGTTTTGAACTAACTCCTAGGCAAATATCAAACTTTGTTTTCCCTCAAAATATTATTCGGATAAATGACAATATGAGAGTTAGTGAACGAAACACAAAAAGGTTCGAAGTCTTTGCTGCTAGGGGGGAGAGACAGAAACAAGTCAGCATCGATATGATGTTATCAAACATCCTGCCATCTCTCTCTTCTCTGAAAATTCCAAAACCTTCGCATCTTTTAGAGAATTCTTCTATTCGCGACTGTTCTCGTGAATACTACGAGACATCCCACAATTTGAATGCCAACCGCTCACTACACACTTACAATCGCAAAATGACATTTGAAGGCATAGGTTACGTGACGAGGACGTGTCGATATTTCCTAAATTTCTGCGAAGGTATGAGATTTGAACTCGCACAATCATTACGTCATCTATGATTCTTTATTTTTTGTTCCAAAGTGTGACTGCAACTTTGTGACTGAGCATAGTTTACAGTTCGTGAAACATTTTATAATCATCAGATGCGCATAACAAATAATTTCATAAACTTTTGTAATTTGAAGTTTGAGAGCAGAAAATCAGAAAACTACCCGAAGTGAACTGGTTTTCGTCGTTAAAGCGCTTTCATTTCATTCATACATCTCGTTCGCGATTTTGAAAGTAGTTCACGTGAGTTACGTTCACGTGAAACACGCTACGTGGCAAATTTTCCCGAAAATTTCATTTGCGAACATAAAGAGGGTCTAGTGCGGTTGTGTTTTCTTTCATTTCATGAACATTACATCAACATTTAATGGGAAAAAAAAGAAAAGATTCAGAAGATCGATTCGCTCACTCGCGTCTTTTTTTTTTGACGTTCGCCCTTATTGAAGTCTGCCCTGTGGTCAATTTGAGTTGGAGCAGACATTTTTGCGCAAAAACTTAAAGTTTACTTTCTCGTTGGAAATTTTAAAAATTTTATGTTTGATATCATTTTTTAATATTTTGCAGTTTCAACATGAGGATTGAAGAGAATGCAGGAGAGCAAGAGAAACTCTTGGAACAAGCCACATTGATTGTGAAAAAAGAATCGTTTGAAATGAAAAGATGTCTCGATAAGGTAGACTTGCATGTTTCTAATAGTTGCAATGAGTATGAATTCAGAATCAAGTAATGGATGCTTTAAAACATGCAGTAACGTTTTTAAATGAATTGAAGACCAACGATTTGTCACCCAAGTTTTATTATAAACTCTGTGAGTTTTTTTTGTTGTTAAATATCGAATGGTTGAATGTTGTATGTAGATATGGACGCTGTGGGGGAACTCTTACACCTCGAAACATTCCTTGTTGATGAGTATCAACGAGATAAAAATAAAATTCTTAACTTATATGAGTTTGTGCAATATGTAATGTCCATTGTACCACGCATGTAAGTTCGTACATATGATCCCAATCCACAATCCAATTTTGCAGGTACTTATTAATCACGATCGGTGTTGTATATATTAAATGCGGTGAAGGTTCTCGGCGAGAGATTTTAGCCGATATTGTAGAGATGTGCAGAGGAGTCCAGCATCCATTAAGAGGATTGTTTTTAAGGTTCTCAACCTGCTCCCGTCATCCTTTCATTCCACGTTTTGCCTTTTCAGAAACTATTTGTTACAATCCACGCGCTCTTTGTTACCTGATGTTGCAGAGGAGGACATGTATGTTCTAACAACTACATTATAAGAGAATCAAACTTGCGTTTTAGAGAAAAAGTAGTTATTGTCGACGAAAACTCTGATCCTAATCGAGACTTTGTTGAGACGGCTTGGACCAGCACCGAGAATGGAACCGTAAGACTAAAAAAAACCTACGTATTCCTGTTCTTGTCTTAGGTTAAAGATGCCATTCAGTTCATTCTGCTTAACTTTGCCGAAATGAACAAATTGTGGGTTCGCATGCAGCATCAAGGCCCGTCAAGAGAAAGAGAGAAAAGAGAGAGAGAAAGAATGGAGCTAAGGTAAGCTGAACAGCATTTTTTTGTAACGTTAGTTACTCAGAATTCTCGTCGGAACTAATCTAGTGAGATTATCTCAACTAGAGAACATCACTGAGGAGTTGTATGTAAATGAAGTTTTACCAAGCATTTTGGAACAAGTTGTTTCCTGTAAAGATTTTATTTCCCAGGTACACTCACCGGTAATATGAGCTTGCTTATGAAACGGTTTAGGAGTATTTAATGGAGTGTGTCATTCAAGTTTTTGCTGATGAGTTTCATTTGGCCACCCTTCGTGATTTCCTTAACGCCTGTGGGGAACTATCACTCGTAAGATCCCTACTTTTTCTAGTTTTTTCTCGACTCGTGCACTTTTCAGGACGTAAATGTCAAAAACGTTTTAATCGCTTTAATTGAGCGTTTAGCACTATTTGCTGCTACCCCCGAAGGTCATGGAGTTGCCGAGAAGGTGAGTTAAGAGTTTTGCGATGATGAATCATTGCGGAAGAATGCTGTCGAGCTGATGAGCAAATTAACAAAAAAAGAGAAGAACAAATATGAAATTGAGAGTTTGATTTTTGAGGTTCCAGGTTGCATTGTTTGAGATATTCTCGGAACAAGCTAAAGAGCTGATTCATACTCGGGAAAATATGGCTTTGGAGAACATCATCTCCCTTCATGTGAGCCCTCAGTTTTCCTCCGAAAGTACATATGTTTTAAGGGCTCTCTGATAAGCTTAGCAATCAAGTGCTACCGAAGTAATTTGGAGTATGCGAGTGTAACTCTCGCTGGTCTGCGTGCTATTTTTGAGGAGAAAGGAATCAACTCGTAATTTCGAAGCGATTTGAAAATATTTTGAATGCTTATTTTAGAATCAAAGCATTTGGTACTAATATGGGAAGAGAATTGCTGAAGTTACTGTATATCCCTATTGACGATTACAAAAACGCTCTTGAAGTAGCCAAGCTTACCGATTTTCAAGCGCTTATGGATGTTTTTGACTACAGAGGGCGATGTGTCACGGCCTCGTATATCATCCAGGTGATCACAAACCACAATATCTTTATATATAATTTGTTTTTAGAATATGCTTGATAACGATACAATAATTGAAACCGAAGAAGAACTACAAACTATATGTGGCATTTTGGATTCTCTACTTGTAAATCAAAAGGATCAGCCGGCAGATGCTGAGGTTGTTTCTCATTCATGTATTTGCCAATCTTATCAATTTTTTTAGCAATCTGAGGATTTCGAGGATGAACAGCATTTGGTTGCCCGACTCATTCATCAAATTCGTGGAAAGTCATTAGATGAGCAATTCTTGGTTCGTTATATTTCACTTCCGCTCCCAATATTTTCATTATAGCTTTTGAATACCACGAGAAAGACTATGGGCACAGGAGGTAAACATAGAATCAAGTCTACGCTCCCGCCAATTGTTTTCGCTCTTTTCAAACTCATTTTACAGTATTCGAGTGACAAAGATGAGGTAATCACCTATTCTTAGTTCATATACAATACTTTGTCAACAACTGTAGGAGCAATGGGAAGCGAAGGTGAAGAAAATGTTCATGTGTGCCATGGGTACAATTGGAGCTCTCATGCAAACAGCTGAACTCTCAGAACTTCCATTGAAGCTATATTTGGAGGTATATGATAGGCACAGATTAAAACGTTCCATATTTGTATAGGGTGCTGTTGTGGCAGATCGAGCAAAGTTCTCTGAAAATGTTACTGTAGCATACGAATTCTTATCAAAAGTATGTGTGGTGTTTTTTATGACGATTAATCAGAACTTTCAAGGCTTTATCAATCTTGGAAGATGATATCGCCGATTCTCGAGATAGAATCAGATGCATTAGCCTCATTACTGGTTCCCTGCTTGAGATTTCTTGTCTCTCCATGGATAACTATGTAACTCTGTCCAATCAAGTTTATCTCGCCGCCTCACGCTTGTTCAAAAAGGTTTCCTCGATTCTCTTTCGTTTCTCAACTTGAGCTTTAAGCCTGATCAAGTACGTGCTATGTGCTCTACGGCTATTCTGTTTTGGTCGGGCAAGGCCGACTATGGAGAGCCTATCAAGAATGGAGCAAAAGTTGCTGATATTTTGAAGAAAGCGGTTAAGGTCGGCTTTTCCTCTTATTTGTTCTTAATGTTTGTCTTAGATCTCAACTCAATGTATGGAGCCGTTGGTACAGCAACAGCTGTTGATCCATATCTTGGACACGTACATCTTCTACTTTAGAGAGAACTGCGAAGAGGTAAGGAGGAGCAGCTGATGGGCTGACCTCTTTAATCTCTCTCCATTCTTACAGATTGAAGAAAGCTATATTGCCGAGATTATACAAAAGACGAAAGAGAACTCCGTTCAGTTGGATGTCTCTGCTGACGCAGACGCTGTAGAGAAACATTTCGCTTCAATCCTTTATTGCATTAAAAATGACGACAGTCTGAAACCATCTCTTGCCGAAGCTCTCAAAATTTAATTTATTTTTAAACATGTTCACACGTCCATGCCTGGTGTTAATAATCTGTGATTGTACATTTTTCGTTTCTAATACAGAGTTTTATCCTAAGTTTTGTAAACTTTCAATAATGGTTTTAGCCAATATTTGGTTTCGTTCACCTCCTTATCATGCATCGCCCGATTTCTTATCGACTTGGCAATTATCATTTATGCGTTACTTGGATCGTTTTTATTTGTCTTTTTTCTTCCCACACACTGATTCAGTTCTGGAGCACTTTTCCCAACTGCTCACGAGGGGCTGTTCTCTGTAACGCGCTTAATCATCAGAAGTCCTACTTAATGCTGTCATGGCTTTATGTGATAACAGCTGAATTTGCTTTGTCTGTCGCTAGGTTACACTCGACTACCTAGTAAGCAATGTGTTCTACTAATCTCTTTTTCTCTATGTCTGTCACTCTCTACCTCTCTTTCTCTCTCTATCAGTCAGTGTGTCCTTTCCGCATTCGCTGTCTCTTTTCTTGTAAATCTGCTTCTGCCTTTCAAGCCAAATCAGCTTTATGTCGCGCATAACATTCACGCATGTTTGACGGAAGTTTTTGTTCGTTCTGTAAACTTTATTTACACAGCATTTGAAGTATTGTGTCTGCAGATCGCATCTTTCCCATGGCCTGACTAATGTTCCTATCGAAGTTTCCTAATATGTGGCAGTCATACTTTCACCTTGCTCTTCTGCTTTTGTCCTTTCTCTTAATCATATTGCATTCTCGCATTTGGGAACTATATCTTATCAGCCTAACTATATGATTATGTCATGATTCATTTGAAATTTTTTGTAGTCCTGGCATCGTTTAGCAATAGTGGGCTTCTGGCTGACCTATCTGTCGTCATCCAACTGTGGATGAAGGAAACAACCTTAGATTTCAGGTTCGTGTCATAATACCAACCTTGTTTCATTCCTATTTAGATACAGCTCAGTTATTTATGATGTAATCCCAATAGCCTTTGCTGTGTTAGGACTTGCTTTCGTTTTCGCTCTTTATATAATTCATCTGATCGCTTTGTCCTATGGGTAAGGACATTCAACTCATGTCTCTAATTCCAATTATGTTGCAGATGGTCCAAATTACATCGACCAAACTCAGAGTATCATCACCATCTAATGAAACAGAAAGGAACCAATGGAAAGACGTATGATCTACCTGGTGTGACTATAATTAAGCCGTTAGTCGGCATAGATGCCAATCTAGAGACCAATTTAACCAGTTTCTTTAATCTAGACTATCCCAAGGTAGTATGATACTATACCCTCCAGTAGCTTCACGTTTTTAGTACGAAATCTTTTTCTGCGTCCACAGGCGTGAGGATGAAGCAGTGGGTGTGGCCAAAAAGCTAATGCTCTTGTATCCAGATGTATCCGCTCGTATATTTTATGGTAAACAAAGACTTTTTTTCGTAGTAATTGAAGCATAAATGACCAGGCGGTGAAAACGTCGGCCTCAATCCCAAAATTAACAACATGATGCCCGCTTATCGAGCTTCGCAATACCCATTCATCTTAATTAGTGACAGTGGTAATAAGCATGAATTCAACTATAATCGAACAATTTCCTTTTCAAGGTATACTAATGAGAACAGATGCTTTAAAGGATATGGTGGAAACGATGTTATCCGGTGAACGTAATGCGATTGTAACTCAAACCCCATATTGTCTGGATAGACCTGGATTTGCCAATACTGTTGAACAGGCAAGAGTGTTTAGCTTCATACTTCTAACTGGGTTATGGCTTACAGATTTACTTTGGCACTAGTCATGGAAGAATTTATTTAGCTGGAAATTGTTTAGGATTCGTTTGCTCCACAGGAATGTCTTCTCTTCTCCGAAAGAAGGCTTTAGATGAGTGTGGAGGAATTAGGGTATGGACAATCATCCACTAGAGCCTGATCAATTTCACTTTTCAGGCTTTCGGTGACTATCTCGCCGAAGACTTCTTCTTTGGATTGATTCTGAGCAGAAGGTTGTGAATTTTTTTTTGTATTCTTCTCATATGAATCCTTTTTGTAGAAATTGGCATGCTGCCATTTCATCCTATCCTGCTCTGCAGAACACTGCTGATCTCACACTTTCTAAATTCCATAACAGGATATGTAGATGGATGAAACTTAGAATCGCTATGCTTCCACATATTATTTTTGTAGAACCTATACAGGTAGAGTGAAGATTTCAGTATAATCATTAACTATCGTCTCGCTTAGGATTGTTTCCCCTCTGGAATTATATTCGCCTTAGTGTCTTCGTTTTTGTTTGGTGCAAACCCTCTGAAGGTTTTCTTGTTTCACTGTATCTTCTGGCTTGTTTGTGATTATAACTTGTTGCTGCGAATGCAGGTTAGTTCACAGACCTCACATAAGTCCATCTATCTCTTTGTTATTGCAGAATGGATTTTTAAAATTCTCTTTCAATGAATTTTTAGTGGGCTGGTTTCTCCGAGAGATCCTCAGCCCTCTCAATTTCTTCCGAGCATTATTAAACCCAGATATAGAATGGCGTCATGGACGATTCCGATTACATTGGGGAGGTAGAATAAAATCTCATAGATAAAATCATATATGGTCATATATACATATATTCATATATTCATATATCATTAAGTACCACACCTAGAGTGGACATATACATGTTATAACAGATTTGCCTCCTTGAATTTCAGGAATTTTTCAGTTCTGCTTTCAAAACTTTTCTTATAGTGTTTTAACATTTTCTATCGGGTCGTTATTTTATGTTCATATCGATAATATCGTGATAACTCCTCTTTGCAAAGCTTTATAATAAATTGTTTAGAAAACTCCCATTATCTACTTATTTCCTTAAGGCTTTATTAGAGTCACTGTTATTTGTCTCCATTTGTCATCTTTTCAATAAAAATTTCTTCAGTATGGCTCTCAAACTACTATCATTACGAAGTTTACGTCATTTTACCAAATATAGAGGTAGTAATATATAAATATATATATATTCCTTTTCTCTATTCATCATTACCATTCGAATGCAACCGATTTGTGCCAATTCATGAATGAAAATGATTTGCATAGTTACGTGACGTGACGTGGCATATCACGTCACGTCATATCTACGAAAACTTATCAGTCGTTTAGTTATTTTTTTTCTTTTAAGAATGTTCATCATTCCCCACTCAGTTGCAATATGAAAAAGCCGCGAATGAGACTTTAGATAAGTTTGAACTTGAACGCCTGGAAGTGAAAGAATTCGAAACGTTTCAGAATATCAGATTATCTTGATGTCCTACCTGATGCGTTACCAGTAGACAGTGCTTATGATGTAACAAATGCTATGGGTGTGGTTACAGCAGTCATTAGTAAAGAAATCGGTAACTTCATTTTCTGCACCTTTTGAAAAAGTCCAACTGGACAGGAACCAGAAATATCAGCTGATATGATTAGAATTGCTAATCCTATGCATTCTTTACAATCTACTGCGAATTTCAAATGGTCATTGATAGTTTTTAAGGCACCTATGTAATCAATAAACAGTCTCCCAATAAGCAGATTTGGTTATCAAGTCCTCTCTCTGGACCTAAGAGATACGATTTGACACAAGATCACAGGTTTTCTTATAATTGAAGTACGTCTCATGATATACATATATAGGTGGATCTACACTCATGACCAGGAGCCCTTAGATGTATTGTTGACTAGGGAATTCCAAAAAATATTCAAAACTGATTCTCTTGACTTCTCTAAACATGTATGAGCTTCTTATCAATAAAGATTTCTAATAGGCCAACTATATTGTTTCGAACGTATAAGGCCAGACATCGACATCGTACTGAGAAGGACAAAACTTCTACAATGTAGCTTTTGAGACGCAATTTTCCCACGACCCACTGAAACCCTCTCCATCTCTGATGAGTCTCTGCTTTCTCAAAATCTTTGGAATTTATCTTGGACCACGGATAATACAACGCCCTGCCGCTAAGATTGCCATTTTTAATTGGTAATGTTAAACTAAGATATGTGTCTCTTTAACCTCTAAATCGTATTGTATATGAAATATTCTATTCTCTTAATAAGGCTGTTAGCCAGTGATGACCAGTTTATCAAACGTAAGGGATACAGTCTGAAGAACAAAGAGACAAGGTGGGCAAGCGGCGTCGATCGTTAAGTTTAAATTTTGGTCGCTGCTAAACGCATCCCATGTTCGCAATTTACAGAAGTTGTCTTCGACTCTGCTTGTCATAGTTGTCTTTCGCTGGTATTCTAAGCATCTTCTTGTGTTTCGTATGTTCATGATCGATTTACTCGCTAATTGGTATTTCATAAATGCTAAAGCTGATTTGCAAAAAATCACATGTGCAACTATAAATTATATTATTGAGTGGAGCGTTGACAATCGTTTTGAAATTTTTTTTTCACAAATTTTTCTCTCCGACTTTCTCCGATTTTACATCGGCTTTTGATGCTTTATGATAAGTGGTGGTTATAGTAGCAGTAGCATAAGCCATTATAATCTTCAGAAACTCAATTCAAAACTGCACAATTCATATAAATTCTTGAAATGATTACTTCCCATAAAGAGAGAGAGAGGGAGAGATAGAGAGAAACAGAGGGAGAGATAAAGGAAGTTGGAGGTCGTAGAAAATGAATTGAGAGAAAAGCCGCCATATTCATTAAAGGCTAAACTTTTGACGTGGCCTTTTCATATCGAAGTTCACTTTTTTTTCATTTCGCATAGGATTAGCGAAGCCTTTTCGGCTCCTCAAGTACTTTTTCTGGCTTCCTTCTTAACGGTTTCTATCAAAATGTTGTACGTAGAGAGCAGAGGCTTGATGTGCCTTCAACATATCTTGGTTCCACTGATTTCAAAATAAGAGGAGCGTTTGATATCTGTTCAACAACGGTCAACTTCTGCGGGAGACGCCTATCATGAAGAATGATTGTAACTTATGTCTTCGCAATCCCATCAACACAACATAACATAGTCATCACTCAAAGAGCTCTTTTCATTATCATCTTTCGTTACTCAATCTGAGTTTGTCATACTAGTTGAACACTTCATTCTTCCGTGACTTCCTTCTTTCATAACTATCCATTTGCTATCACTTAAGTCTCCAATCGATTTTTTTCAGATTTTGGAATGATATGGTTTGGTGCTAGAAGACAATGAGGTAATACTTGCAATCACATATGTTCTCATCTTTTTTTTCCCTCAAGCTCGACGAGATGTTGCACGTTTTTTTATAATGTAACGGGAGAAGAAGCGGAAAGGTTACTCAACAAGTATGGCAAAGACGGGGAGTTCCTTGCTCGTCCAAGTGAATCGCAGCCAAGTAGTTATACCTTGTCTATCAAGTGAATACAAATCGCCGTTCTCTTCCTCATATTTTATTTTAGGAGAGGAACGGGAGTAACTCATGTGAAAGTTTCTTATGATCGTGGGCGTTTCTTAGGAATGCCTGGTGGTGATACATTCGATTCATTGCCTGCTCTAGTTCAACACTATGTAGAGAACTCTGAGCAGCTTCAGGAAACGAACGGGTCTATAATAGTTCTCAAGTTTATATTTTCAACTTTTCGTTCTTGAAAACTGAATTTTGTAGAAGACCTGTTACTATCCCCATCAGTGAGCCTGCAGCTCATGAAGCTCGTGCTCCTACAGCAGAAAGCTGGCTTCATGTTAACTTAACTGGACCTGAAGCTGAACATCTTCTAGCGAAAGAAAAGGATTGGACATTCCTCGTTAGGCAAGTAACTCACATCAACGTAGATATAATTGTTGCGGGTTAAGGTATAGTCAACGTGCTCCGGGGTCCTATGTGATAACTGTCAAAACTAAAAGCTCAACTAAGCACATACTTATTGAAAAAGATGCTCAGGTTAGTATATAAATCTATGAAAAGGAAGTATAGTGTCCTTACTGACACTCACTCATAAATGCGGAATCAACCGGTTCAGGCGTTGATGAGAGTTTAAATGAGTTAGCTGACGTATGCGCACGTGAACACAGTTTCACGGATATGCTAATTGAATTTTCGGTTCATGTTATTGTCAATTTCCTTTCAGACCGGAATGTACCATGTAGGTGGAGGAGATGAATTTCCTTCAGTTAGGGAATTACTTGCTCATTACAACTTTAGCGCTATGGTAGAACAAAAAACACTTAATGTTGTTCATCTGATCACTGTAAGCGTTAATTACGGGGAATAGTAAACATCTTCTATCTCAGCTAATACCCTCCACTTGCGTACCTGCTGATGCTATCAGTGAGAGAATTCGTCTGTTGTATGAATATGATCCTCACGCTAAGAGGAATGGATTTGCAGAAGAGTTTGATGTAAATATAATCTTCCTCATGGAGGATCTTAGGATTAACGATCATCTAATCATAGTTATTGTTCCAGAGGATTCAAAAAGATGACGACCAGCTTCTCTCATGCAGAATAGGGAAGAAGGAGGAGTACACTACTAAGAATCGCTATAAGAATATTATTCCATTTGATCAAACCAGGTATGGAAGAAGCAACTGCTGATGTCTTATCTCTCACAGAGTTGTTTTGGAAGTTGAAGCGATTCCCAAGGAACCAACCGATTCTGACTACATCAATGCTAGCTACATCAGGGTTCGTTTATTGGTTTTTAAGATATAAACAAACTGTTTCCAGTTTCCCAAAAATGGAAGACTTCGTCTAGATAATGTTCGTGAATATATATCTGCCCAGGGATGCCTTGATAACACCGTAAGTCATATCCAGCTAGATGATCTATATAATCTCTCTTGACTAGGTTGTTGATTTCTGGAGAATGATCTGGCAGGAGAATAGCCGAGTCATCGTGATGACTACCAGGGAAAATGAGCTGGGAAAGGTTTTTAAATTGGTTGATTTCAATGTAATAAGCCTTATGACAGAGCAAATGTTATCGTTACTGGCCTGATCTAGGAGAAGAGCGATGTTACCGTGGATTTTATTGCAAAACAAGTACGAGTGTCTTTCATGCTGTATAATTGATTTTCCCGCCTTTCAGTTGAAGAACTTTCATATAAGACTCGTGAGAAGAACGAAGAGTCGTTTGTTAAGCGTGTGTTCCGTTTCCATAAAGAAGGTATATCATCAGGTGTAACTGCTTAGTAGAACATGTTTTTAAGGTTCTGCGCCTCGTATTGTGCATCATCTTCAGTATGTTGGTTGGCCGGATCATGACAAGCCAGAATCTCCTGAGCCCGTTCTAGAATTCTTGGCTGAGGTTGATAGAGTTCACAATTCCATCATGGAACCACAAGGACCCATCTTGGTCCATTGCAGGTTAGAAAGTAATGAAAATTTGATCACGGTAAGATTGTTAGTGCTGGAATTGGAAGAAGTGGAACGTTCATCATGATTGATGTACTATCGAATCAGATCAGAAAACTAGGTAATACTGAATATGTAAATGAGTTTGCATTAGTGATGACTATTCAGGATTAACGTGCCCCATTGATATTCCTGCGACCCTCACAATTTTGAGGAGACAGCGAAAGAGTATGATTCAAACGGTAGAGCAATACACTTTCGTCTACAAAGCTGTTGACCTATACGTCTCGAAAATTTTAAAGGTCTGTTCAAGCATCATAACGATAAGCAGAATATTTTCGTTTAGTATCAACTGGGAGAAAGTTATGATGAGAAAGAAGAAGAAGTTGTTCCACCACCACCACCAGTTCCAAGAAGGCAAAAGGCTTATGTTAGTGCTAGTCACGACGCCTGATTCTCCTACAGCTTGGAGAAGCCTAGGTTTATACACAATTTAAAAAATATTGTACTTACTCATCTGTATTATAATGACCTAATTTGGTATTAATCAAAAACAAACATAAAAGTGTGAATGAAAGATTATTAAACGGTATGCATAGCCCGGTAGAAGAAGAGTATAGGTTCCCTTAAACTCGGCTAGGTTCCTTCTCGTGATTGTTCATCTCTTGACTGTTTTCATTGTTAGTTTGTTCCTGTTTCCAGACTTAAGATGGTTTCTGGGTTTTGTACATTCGTTTTCAGAAATTTTTTTAGAACTTCATAGTGAGAAAATTATTGTTAAATGTCTCTTGAACGTGTCTTTTTTCATTCCTCATTTTATAGAGATCTGATAAAGTTTATTATTTGATTGTTTGGAAAGTACTTGGGTCACGATTCCTCAACAGCTTCTTATTCTCATTGATCTCTGTTTTGGTACTTTTTCTGTTTCAGTATGCCTCCAAAGGCTCCCAAAAAGAAGTTGCATGAGTTGGCGGTTTTACTACCTGAGGGAACGAAGATCAATGATCCCTCTAAAAAAAAGGATTACGTTCTCGGCAAGCAGTTTGCAACTGGAGGCTTTGGGCGGATTTATACTTGTAAAGAGGTACAACAGTGTCCTCTCTCGTCTATATTCGTTCCATTTATCGTTAAGGTTGGCACCAAAGAAGATCTTGTTGTCAAGGTTGAGCCATCCGGCAACGGACCTCTCTTCACCGAAGTCAATGTCTTTCAACGGCTGCTCAAGAAGGAATTCATTGAAGCCTTTAAAAAGCGAATGAGTATATTAATCTCATTAACAAAGATTATAGATCTGAATCACTTCAGATCATTCTTGGATTGGTTTACCATACATCATCTCCGGTGGAGTTTTCAGCTATAAGGAGGAGAAACTTAGATATATGATAATTCCAAAATATGATATGTCCTTAGAAGGAATGAGAGAGAAGATCAAAGTCTTAAGCTTTAAGAATACATGGGAAGTTTCCCACTGTGTTCTTCAAAGTCTGGAATATGTGCATGAGAAAGTCAGTGTAATGCTCTTCGTTCTCTCTTTACTATCAATCTTAGCAATTTACTCATGCTGATATCAAAGCCGCCAACATTCTCCTGGAGAAGAAAAACGATTGCACTACTTCAGGTTTATATATGAACTGTCTGTTTGCTTAACGATTCTCTGATTCAGTTCTCGTGGATTTCGGATTAGCTCGGTTCTCTGCTAACAATATTGATAAACCTGATAAGAAAAGAGGTGCATATAGATTGACTCTGGTAGTCTGAACTGTCATTTCAGCTCACAATGGAACGGCCATCTTCACATCTTCCGATGCCCACATTGGAAATCACCCATCATTCCGTGGAGATATTGAAATCTTAGCTTATAATATTTTGTATTGGCTTACTGGCTCGCTTCCTTGGTTGGTGAGTGTTATCGGTCCTTGTGGACGTTCTAAATTTGATACATTTCAGGAGTATGAAGCTACTCCGGCTAAGGTGTTTGATAAGAAACAAGCCTTCATCAAGGATGTTCCTAAAAGTTTGAAGGACTTACTAGTAAGTGACGTAACACTGTTCACATAATAAGAAAATGATATCAGAAGTCAGATTCTGCGTCTATCGAGGCGTTAACAGTTTTTTTCGAAGTTGTCGCTAAAACTTCATATACTCAACAAGTTAATTTCAAATCGCTATTCAATGCTGTGAAGAAAGCATTGGGCTCTTCAAAAGGCAAAAGACTCTCCCCAGCTCCTGAATCTAAACGTACGTTTACCCCCCTTGGACAGATGAGAGAATTGCATTTCAGCAGTTTCGAAAGCAAAAAAAGCAGAGGCTGAAGATTCTGCTACATCCTCTACTGTTCCAAAGCGAAGACGGGCAGCAGCACCTACTGCGGAGCCAACACCAACAGAAGAAGTGGTATCAACTTCGAAAACAAGAACTACAACTGGAAAATCAACCGCGACCAAAAGTTCTAGGAGGAAATCGCCAATTCAGTTGAGGAGGAGTAGCAGACTGCTGTTTATGAAACAAACATTTAAGATCGGATCGTATTCCTATTGTCTCCCCCGTGATGAGCGCTCTGAAAAACATCGTCTCCCCTAGGAGAGTCCGATCGTCTAGAAGAAGTCCTCCGTTGCGTGAAGCTCCGATCATTCAAAATCAAAAAGTATCACCTGTTGCTGAGAAACTACCAATTGATTCTTCTAAAGTTACAACTCGTAGGAAGTGTAAGTCGCATGCATGATCTGTAGATTGTTACGGGCATTTCAGTTACATCAAAGCCCATCTCGCCATCAATTAAAGCCTGCCCACAGAAACTTCTTGAGATGGTACCCGGAGTCCGTAACTTCGAGAGGAACCGTCGTTCCTTAGTGCTCAGAAATATTTCCAAGAAGTATCAAAAACTTGTTAAAAACCCAACATCGATGCAACTCTCGCCTGACGAAATCTGATTATTACCCTCATTTCTGTTCTGTAAGTGGAAACTATTTGAACGATCTCTGTTTCTTGCGCGTTTGTATTGTTTTATGCATTCTATTTTACCCTCAATATCTACGGTTACCTCGTTTCACTTCATAATCAATAAAAGTTTGAAGCCTTTCTCATCGAATCCCACCTATTGGTTGAGCCTAACACGTTATCTTAACTCATTTTCTCTCTTTATTACCATACTCTGTTTCCAGCAAGTATACTGATATGGCCAACGAAAACATTCTGTACGCCGATTACCCTCTCTTCCCATTACCAGAAGACAAAGTGACTGCTTTGGTTCAAGAGGCCCATGATTGGGCTCATGTAAGACATACTAATCAAACTTATCTATTCTATCTGACCTCAGGCTCATGGTCTGGTATACCGTCTCCGTCAATCCAAAGACAACAGTGAGCATTGCCAAACCGCCCCTATAGCTTTAATTCCAACTCCATTCCCAAGAAGTCTTTTCCAACAAGCAGTTGACGTTCAGAACGTATGTTGACTGACTGTGAACAACTCAACAAGGAAGTCTTTAGCTCATGGCGTCTCTGTACCATGACATCGCCTATGACTTCGACTTTCTAACCAAATGCCATGAGGAGGTCGTCAAGACTGACTCGTTTATCCGTCATATGATGGATATTTATAAGACTGTTCATGAGGAAGGCAAGAAAACTTTTTAACGCTTTACCTCCTCTTCTTAGGTCTCGCTCAGAAAGTAACGTTGGCCATCCAGCGTTCGGATTATATGGCTCATAAAGATCCTTTCACTTCTGAATATTGTCTGAAGCAGGTAAAGGATGCATCTCATTATTCCAACTCTCGTTTGTTTAAGATCGAAGTTAACAACATCGCTTCAAGTATGGGAGGACATTCGGAGCGAGTAAGTGTCACACTTTGAAACCTTACAACCTTCTTTTTCCTTAGGTAACTTTGCTTCATCGACGCACGTTGTTGGATCTCGGATACACTGCCGAGTTTGTCGATCGTGCTATCCCCAAGAACAAACCTATTGAGATGATTGCTGATGCTTTGTTCAAAGCTTGGTTGTTCACGATTGTTCTCATTCTCTTTTACTGTTTCTGTTTCAAGGACAGAAGTTGCCGACCCTGATGCTATTGTTTTGGTTATCGTGGAAGATATCAATCAGAACCAAATTGATCAACGCCATGTTGAGTATGCACTAGAAGCTAAGGGCATTCCAGTAGGAAATGTTGTCCGACAAAATTTAACCGAGCTCCATGAACAGTATATCTTATCTAACTTTACCATCTCTGATTGTTTATAATGTTCAGTCTCACCTTGACAGAAGAACGTCGTCTCAATTTCAAAGGCTCACGCGTATCCGTAGTCTACTTCCGTTCTGGATATTCTCCAGATCATTACCCAACAGAGAAAGGTTTGGAGTGTTGTGACTGCTATCTCAATTAGTTATTTTAAGAATGGGCTGTTCGCTTGGTTATTGAGAGATCGGATGCGATAAAGTCTCCTTGGATTGGTTTGCAGGTTGCGAATACTAAAAAAACACAACAGGCATCACATAAGAACCAGATTTTTTACTTTTTGATAGCGTTCAGGTTTTGTCTGAAGATGGTGTGTTGGAAAAATACATAGGAAATCCGCGGGACGCTTCAGCTATCAGAGATACCTTTGCTGGTTTATGGGCTCTGGAAGATAACAATCCCGTCACCAGAAACATCATTAAGGTTTTCTGTAGCATTCATTGTTTGTGTATGATACTGTCCTTTAAGGGAGCTATCAGCCATCCTGAGCGTTTTGTTTTGAAACCTCAGCTAGAGGGCGGAGCCGGAAATTACTATGGAAATGAGATTTCGGAAATGCTTGAGAAAATGAGTTCTGAAGAGAGAGGCGCCTTCATCCTAATGGAAAGAGTTAGACCTTTGGCTTTCCAAGTAATATTATCCCTTCTGCGTTGCCCTTGTTAGAATGTTATGCGTTCAGAACTATTTGGTTCGTGCAAAGGAGCCGGTTGGGTTGTCTGAAGTCGTTAGTGAACTTGGCATATATGGTTATGCCCTGGGGGTGCGTGGAAAACCGGAAACAGGGACTGGGGGCCATCTGTTGCGAACAAAGGGAGAAGCCATGAACGAGGTTAGATTTGAGAGAAGAAAAAGCGTAGAAAAGTCTTTGTTCTTAATAGGGAGGAGTAGCAGTTGGAGCTTCAGTGATTGACAGTCCATTTTTATACGAACTACTCTAGAGAGAACAGCTTTTGACAAATAATGACTAGGCAGCTGAGTAATTGGATGGTGATACAAAAACTGTGATAAGAGACCTGACATTAGTAATAAACACATTTCTTCATTTATGAAATTTGCACTGAATTTACAGAAATACAAAATTAAAAAACTACACGAATCACAAAAAAATGATTGGCAAATAAAACACACAGGTGAGAAACGAGGTTATGTAGCAAAGTCTAGGAATTTCCAGCTCATTAAGAAAGTGAGTGAATAATAGAGAGGTGGTACTTGTTCATTCTCCGTATTTATCTTAGTTTTTAACAGCTGCATCCTGAATTCGAAGTAGGAGCTGGTTGATCCAAGCGGATTTGATCTGGGAAGTCGGGGAAGTCATGCACATCCTGTAAGGCCGAATATAGTCTCAAACTATCCAAGGTTAGTTCCTACCTGAGATTCTCTAGCTAAGGCGTTACAAGCGATAGCCTTAAATGCTTTTTCCACATTAACAGCTTCTTTTGCGGATACCTTAAGATAACATTATAATGTGATAGCTTAATTGCGCTTCTTACTTCGAAATAAGGAATGTTACTCTTGCTCTCGCACCAAGAACCAGCTCTCTTGGCACTCACGGCTCTGTTATTTACCAAGTCAACTTTATTTCCGAGTAAAACGAATGGGAAATTTTCGGGATCACGTGGGCTACAAATAGGAAATTAGAATTGAACAATGAGCATTCTCTTACTTGGCCTGAATGAGGAACTCATCTCGCCATGAATCCAAACTCTTGAAACTCATGGGATTAGTGACATCAAAAGCGAGCACGCAACAATCTGCTCCACGATAGAAAGCAACTCCTAAAGATTGGAATCTTTCTTGTCCAGCAGTATCCCATATCTAAGGAAAACGTGGAATAAGATAAGCAAGTATTATGAAATGGAATTACTTGTAAAGTAACAGTTCTGTCGTCAATTTGCACATCTCTAGTGAGGAAATCTGCTCCAATGGTAGCCTGAAAGAGATACACATGACTCAATCAGATGATCCAACGAGTACGCATAACTAGGCAATAGAATGACTAACCTTATATTGATTACTAAATCTTTTATTTACATATTGATTCATTAAAGAAGTTTTGCCTACTCCTGAATCTCCCAAGATGATAACCTTAATCAAAGAAGTTGGTGAAACGATAAGAAAACGAGGTGAAACCTTTAGAAGAGCCTTCTTTCTTGTTGTAGACATTATTCAAAAGTAGCTTAGAAGTATTTAACTGAAATAAGAAGGTTTTTTGAAATTAAAACATACAAAGAATAATAATTCAAGAAAGCTTCACAACAAGCTTAATGTACGAATCAGCTGTTAAACACGAGTGCATGGACCTACTGGAGAGACACATGACTAGGCATAGACGGACAGAGAGCGAGAGAGTCGGCTAGACATGCAGAGCAAAAGTACCAAATCGACGCCTATATAAGGAAACCCCTTAGAGCACGGGCTTTCACTAACGATTCGTTTGCTCAAAGAAGTAGCTGCGAATAATTGTGCTCAAATAAGTAAACTATCTAAACGTGGGCAGTCACATAGCTTGAAATGGTGTTCGTGTCGATGCGCATCAATCGATTTCGCAGCGGTTTATACAGAAGAGGAACAAATGTTTATAAAAATACTTTCTGGCTCATTGACCAAAGTCTCATGACGGATTGTGAAAGACGGGTGATGACTTCATTTCAGTCCAAAAAACACAAACAATCAATGTTTATCTCCTTCTATCTTCAGTATTCTATTGGCTGCCTTCAAAAAGTCATGAAACTCGAATCTATCAGGACATATTTCCTGATGTGCCTCTATTTCCAAGGCAGAAAGTAAATGCATTGGGTTGTATATACAAGCACCGATTTTATCGCTACCTCGCTGCTTCTCTTCCTCCTTAAAACAAAACGTGTCGCACAAACTACTTTCTGAATACGCTCTGCTTACCGTGGGGCCAGCTATGCCAAAAGTTCTAGCATGGCGAGAAGGACTACCTCTGTCATCATTATTTTTTCTTTCTAAATATGGAAAAAAAAATAGTTCAGAAGCTTCCCCCCATGACAACTAAACCGTTAGGGTGGACGTTTCGGTGCCTAGCTGGACGATTGTTATAACATTGAGGGTACTCATAGTCCTTCTTGTGAGCCATATATTCTATATGTTATAAACTATAGCAAGCTGTAAAGTAAAATAACGGAGCGAAGAACAATTAAAAATATTATAAAAAAAGTTAAAATGAAGTTGATTGGATCAACGCGCTGTCCTGCAGGCTTTCAAAAGAAAGTGTTCCCCACACTAAATTAGCAATGGGTCACTTTTGTGCCACTCGCTTATCATCAAGTACGCAAGGACACCTCGGTAATCATAGAGTGAACCCTCTATTTTGAAACTTCAATTTAGTTTTACAGGCGAGCTATATACACTGGCAGACTTTTTCAATTGTGCGAACAATCGATAATGCGAGAGGGGGAGGATGTGAGTTAAATTAGTCATATGAGATTATTAAGGAGAGATGTTTATATTTAAATTGTAATAGTGCGTGGGAATATAGATAGATAATTGAACCGAGTTCTCTGGAATCAAATAAAAAAAGTAAATGGTTTGAACTAGAGGAAGTGCTGAATGCGACCGACTGTTGTGTGTGTGAGAATGAAAATGAAAAATATTCGTCACGTGAAACGACGTAAACCGGCGGTTACTTCCTAACAACCGTTGTAACAAAAATACAAAACCAGCAACGCTTTCCATATTTATGTTTTTTTCATTATATGCTTATTGATGAAGAGTCATGAATAGTTAATATTATTATTATATATAGAACCGTAGTATTGCGGGAAATCAAATACAAGATGAATGTGATATTCCGTACTCTACAAACTTGTTGCATAATAAATATTTGAAATGATATTCGGCTGCTCTCTCTCTACGATCATTAACTACGATCCAGGGAACCTGCAATGATATCTTCAGTTAGATAATTATAGATCGTATGAGACTACCCAGCTGGCTTGTGGAGCAACTATGCTCTGACGGATTCCGTGTTCGGCCATTAGCCGACGTCCTTGTGAACTCATGGCACACATTTCGACTCTGATAAATATGGTTCGGCTTAGTTTTCTTTTTCATTCTATTTTCTCACCTCTCAGGGTCTATTGTGACATTTGTCTTATCCCCAATAATACAGTCGTCGATTGCTTTCTTCATATCTCTTCTACCTTGCATGCAGAGAACTTAACCGGAAATCAGTTTTGTTGAATCTGTACTACGCAATGAAAATATTGTCTCACCGGTCGCGAAATGGTCTTTGAAATCAGGTAAAGCAGATATTACGCAAGCTTGGAGCTGATTCATAAGACACTCTAAAGGCCCATGTTGGCATCTACATCTACAATTTGATTGAATGGTTTTTTTTTAGTGAAATAGAAGAAGTCTCACGTGAAGTCTCCGTCGTTGGTTGGCAGACATTCTGTTTTTCCTGGAATGCCAAAGGGATGATAAGTGATGTTCAAGTAATCGGAAGACCCGAGTTCTTCCCATACAGGCGCAAGTTGGAATTTGAGAAATCTGAAAAGTATTTGTTGTATCACTGCAGTTTGAATAAAAGTTGTCACCTTGTTGTATCTGGGCATAAGGATTCTCCTATGATTTCAACATTTATTTTGTTGATATTTTGTTTGAAGTCTGCTATGGCGTTTTCAGACTGATCGAGACTGAATAATAGCGAAGTCGTAGAGTTGGAAGTAACGTTGTAAATCTCAGAAGCCTGAACGATACCTACCAGAACGGCGAGTATAAAAGCGGGAGTCATGTTTCTGTAAAACAGAAGGAAGTGTTAACAGTAAGACGGAAATGCAGAAACTGATGTAGAGAAGGTAAGAAAAAAGCTGAACTAGTTTTCAGAATTGTGGATGACTTTAATTACTTTTAAAAATGACGAGAAGGATGCAACAGTATGAACGAGAGATAGGAACAGAGCTTGAAATCTACCACTGAAACAGCAACGGTCGAGAGTTGTGTTAACAGAAGAGAAGTAACTGATAGCTCAGGAAAGTTTGTTTGACGTTTAGATATATAGAGAAGCTTTGATATATTATGTATACAGATAATTATTATGTAAACAGATTGTTCTGTCGCATAATCTGACTGTTTCAGATAGAAGTCATCTATCGTTGAAAGCAAACGGCTTAGGCAGTGGCAACAATCATTGAGAGGTGTGAACTGACTCTGTTTGTAACACTACGGAATACAGTTGACAGTTGTACCGGAGATAAACAGCAATGTGAAATCTTTTCTTATCTAATGAATATGAATTGAAACAAAGCGGAGAGACAAACGAAGGAAAACATGTAAGAAAAGTAAGTTTGAAGATGAATGAAGGTCAGAAATCTGTGTTACATTGAACTAAATGAATCGTCTGGACGTCTTTCTCCCTAAATTAATTGGAAGACTGCCGTCGGCGACGAGACTTTCGTACAGATTGCTGGCTCTGTTCCAAGATGTTCTTAGGACTATCAGGTATGATGTACGAGAGTGAAACCACAGCTGTAAATGAAACACTGACAGATGATGACACTATATGAAGGAACGTTCCTTTGTTTCGCACATAAGGTTTTTCCAAATATGGAAACCACGTGCTTCATCTACAAAATCATGTTACTCTCTTCTTTGAGAACTAGAAGGAGACTCACTTGGCTAACCTTAACTACATAGGTAACAAAATTTTCACTCTGAATAACCTTGGACTGGATTTAGACTGATGCGATTCACTCCAAAATTGATAAATGAACTTGAAATTTGTTCATCAGACTTTTCCCAAACGGTCCGGAAACCAATGACGTCAAGAAGGTTTGAGGACAATAGAGATTGGATAACGGTATGTATGGATGATGATAAGGTTTTGTTTGTCGTTTGCGTGGAGGGATGTGTCTGTGTATGTATGTGTGTTGCTTGGCTATCAAGACGGTCCGATCACAGCAGGTTCGAAAAGAAATTTATATACAACTGATATTTGTAATTATTTATATTATTATTATTATGATCATTTAAATAAATAAAACAAAAAAAACACATAGGAGGATTATCACAGAGTTTTTTTTTTTGGCAACATAAATTCATCAAATAAAGTTTGAAAAAAATGAAATACTTATGTATGCTTCTGCTTATGATGTTTAGCCACTACCCTTAATACTTCACACATGAATAATATGTTTCTCATAATTCTTTCTTTCTTCTATTCCTCCCCGAATACCTTCTTATGAGGCATTGAACATTTTGATTCGTGTACGATCGAAATGAATGAATGAATAGTCGACAGAAAGTTTCCACACGTAAGGCACGAAGAAATCGACTGTGTTATCGTCCTCCACATACCTAAGATAACCGAGTTAAGAGAGTCGCAACCTTTTACCAACCTGAATTTCAATTCTGGGAACTTTGCCAAACGATCAGTAGGCCACACAAGAACTTCCTTCTCGATCACCTCCATCAAACCGGCACCGTCACCAGCTTTGACATGAACAACTTTGGAACTGAAGTGTGAAATGACAGCAGCGATGTTGCCCAACAGATCCTATAATGATGAATGTTTTAAACAAGTTGACTTGGAACACTCACTTGGAACATCGGATGATGCTGGTATGAATCGAAGAGAGTTCTATGATACAGAAGAGTGTACACCAGATGAGGGTTATGACGAAGAGACGAAGTGAGTGTGCTGTTAATAATTTCCAGAAGTGTTCGAATGCCTTCCTCTAGAGCTGTGATGTCTTCATGCTTCAAAAACATGAATTATCTATCAAATTTACAAAGATGAGCTTACGAAATTGGGTGGCTGTCCTTCAACCACATCCAATTCACTACTTGTTCTCATATGCTCAACCATCTTTGCATGTCTTTTGGACAAGACCTCGATTAGAGTTATGAGCTTCTGGCAAACAACAGGTGACAAGTTTTTGAAACAGGACGACATGTTGGCCAAAGCAGCCAAACAGTTTGTATGTAAGTATCGATCCTGAAGTCAAAGATTCAAGATGAACAAAGGTTAGTAACTAACCCGCATCTTCAGAGCATTTTTTTGAATAGTTCTAATGAAAATTAAAGCAGTTAATCCGCCAAGGGAAATTTCTCTCAAAGGACGATCCGATTCGACCCAGTCAACATCTTTAACCATCTGACAAAGTAATTAATTAGATGATTACAAAAGTTTTTTTCTGATAAGTTTTTCTTTATATTTGTGTTTGTTTTAAGTTTCAGCTGACTAATCATGCGCCGAGTCACGTCATTTCACGTGGCACTCGTTTTATTTATCGCGTCGTTTTCAGATGAGTCGGTCGTATTCAAGACGAGAAAGTGATTTCTAGTAAAACTCACCGTCTCATGGATTATTTTGCAGAAAAAGTCGTCTTCGCTAAAAATAAGAATTACAATGAGGGCAAGATACATGTGGTGGGAATTGGTCATTGGAGCTGAAACCCCTTCGTGTAGAATGCGGAGTACAGGAACAACCTGAAGCATTCATGTAAGATAATGAGACTGCGTAGCCAATGCTCACCAAATTCTCCAGATTAATACGTGATAATACAAAGTTTCTGAAGCCAGTGTTTCTATGAAGAAGCAAATACAAGAGAAGCATGGATGGCTCTTGTGATGCTGTGGCACACAAGCGTTCATAAAGTGCAGAATATGGTATTTTGAAGTTAGCTATGCCGGTAAGAAGTGTAGAAACCTCTGTAAATTTAAAAATTCTTAATTTTCTCCAGCTAGGCTCACTGCGAACCGTACCTTGTGAATTTTGAAACACCGAAAGAATATCTTTGAATGGATTCAATCCTTCAGTGTTATGGCAAGACAAATTGAGGAGTAAGAGAAGAGATACTCCACCCAACGTCAGTGATAAATCATCAGTTTTACCAGGTACTTCTTCAATTCCTGCAGCGACTTGTACCATTGACCAAAATGAAGCTATAAAACGTATTGGAAATCAAAACAGGTTTATAGCAACTCACAAGCCAATCCTATAACCAAACTTTCTGGTTCTTTTGGTTTGGGTATAATGTATTCGTTATTATGATGAAGGTAATTGTTAAGCAGAGTTTTGCATAGATCCGCACTCAGTGGAGAGCTGAATGGAAAAGAGAAGTCTCTTCAACACATCGCGAACATACCAAGACCCATTTTGGAAGTATCCGAAGATCAAGGAAGTATGTGAGCAGTCTTCTCGATACAATTGAGCGCTTAGAATAGTAATAATACATTTTACAGTTTCAATGTGAATGCCCATTGTGATGTCACTAGAAGAGTAATTGAATGATAGAAGGAGTATACTCAATTGAGCTTACTTCACAGGTAATTCGCGTAATATATTGAGCAACACGACCATGAATTCCTCACAGGTGCTTGATTTAACAATTGCATTATCTTAATTTATCTCGTTCTTTAGATATCGATACCGCTAGATGTACCTCCAGTTTCTTCATCATCAGAATCGTCTGAATCGCTTTCAGCTGATGTTGGTGGCGCCCAATCAAAAACTTTCACAAACTCAGACTCATTCATACGTTCAGTAAGGAATTTGAATATATAACGGAGAATAATGAGTGAATTGGTAGTTTGCCACAAGAATATTTTGCTGAAAAAACGTGGCACATGAATGGTATTGATAGTGTGAGTTATACTTTTCACATTGCTCGGATATTTTGAGTTCAGAAGCACGTCTGAGGAACACACGAATTAACGATGAGAAGTTGCCAGTACGTTGAGTATTGAACATTAACGAAGACAGAAGTTCAATAGTCGCCTCGTCGAAACTTCGAACAACTTCACTAAACAGTATCGGGTTGGTTTCTGTGTAACGTAACGCACAAACTTCTCTTTCTCATCTATTTTCAAATTGAAAGAAAGTAAATTATTCCAGAAAGGGTCATTATCAGAAATCGTTTCTAACCCTGTGAACTTTTTCAGAGCTGCATTATCAGCTAAATCCGCTTCGCTACTAATGATACCTCCCATGAGGGAATCTGAACATGGAAAGCATATGATAAAAGCAAATAGAAAGGAAAAACAGGTATCGAACGAATACTAGGAAGCAGGTAACTCTAATAGGAAATGGACAAAACAATCAGATATTTGAAACAAGGTATATCTAGAAGAAATGGTCTCTTATTCAAATTGTTTTAATAGTTGTGTGAGATAGAAGGTAATGGAGTTAGTGAATGCATCGGATTAGGCCCCGCCCATTTTTCTGTGCGCCGGTTTTGCCTGATCAAGCCCGAGATATATTTGAATTTCATCTGGAGATTCATACAAGTTTTCATGCTTTTATTATAATTATAAACTAATTCTTGCATTTTTTCAGTATAAATTTTCCCCAAAACAGTTGCAATGTCGGTGAGAACCGGCATATTGCCCGGTTCCTCCTCATTGGCTTCAACTATAATGGGAGGGGAGTTAGAGAATCATGTTAGAATATTACAAGATTCAAATCAGCGAGATGACTTAAAGCTCAGATCTCTTCAGGTATCTTTCGATTCTAAATGGAAGATAATCATGTTTTCTAGGAAATATTGTCCGGGTTCGAGGTGTTATATCCCTCAGCATCATTTCCAGCGTTACTGGAAAGTCTTATCAAAGTTTTCGTAAAGTTGTTAACAGAAACACAACCTCAGTTTATTAGCGAAAATAACACACATGTATGATTTACTCGAAGTATAATTGAATTTATTCCCTTTTCAGCTTCTCAGAAAGCAAATATTAGAAATTATTCTGCGATCCTCTACCCATGAAGCTATGAAACCTCACATCAAAGACATTACTAGATGTTTGATGAAGTTAATAATGGTCGACAACGAAGAAAATGCTATACTCGCTGTTAAAATTGTCACTGATATCGGCAAAAATCCCTCATTCAAAATGCATTTCCATCAAGAGGTTTGAAATTTTCAAATGAGTATCTCTTACACTTCTGTTCCAGCAAATTCAAACTGTCACAGGATTTTGTAAACAGTTGTTGAAAGATATGAAGACATTCATCTATAATGGAATGTTCGAAACCCGTGATTTAGGATTAGGTAGACAATCTTTGAGCCCAACAGATGAAACGTTGATAGAAATGGTAAGGTGGTATTTGAAATTTTGATTCATTGCCCTCATTATGTTAGTGCTTGGTGAAATGCTATTTTGTACAACCTGTAACACTAACTGGTGCTTCGAACGGTAGACCCGGTCTGGACAATATCAAGGTAAAACAGAATTTCGAAAGTTGAATCAAATCTTTACGTCTTACAGTATAACCTCATACCAAGAGCCTCACAATCAATCAAATTAATCCAAGAACTTACAATGCTATTTGTTTTTTTCTACCAGCATTACAAATCTGCTGTTCTCACCGAAGTTTGTTTTCTCCAAGTTGACTTTTCTCATTTCCAAGTTTAGTGTCTTGAGTATCTCCAATTAGTTATTCAATTTGCGGGTCTACAGATTCCTCAAGAACAGAAGGAATCCTCCGCTTATAATAAGGTTAGTTTATTTTGGCTGTTTCTTGCTCATTCTCGTTGTTTTTAAGGGAATCGCTGATGAATTCTGCACCTCCCAAGTTAGAGCTTTATGCTATGTTAATATTATGGGAAAACTACCTCAAGTATGTATTATTTTTTATGTTCTATCATTTTCTCTGATGTTCAGTTCATGGAAATTTTACAAACACACTCTGTTCATTTGATCACTGCATTGTTTTGTCATCTGGAAAATTTACCCACCAATCTCACAGTTATCAGAAAGTCAGTTATCAGTCTCCGTTTCTCATTCAACTCGCGTTTCTTCAGAGAAGTTCTTATGACTTTGAAGTTTCTTTTCGGAACAGAGTTACGACTTAAGTTTTTACCATACCTGACTAGGTTGTTATGTGAAGAAACAATGTTGGGCACAGGCTTCACTTCAGCCGACCACTTGAGAATTTTCATGTATCAAATTTTGGCTGATTTACTTCATCACATTCGTAGTCATCTAACTTTTCCAATGCTCGCTCAGTAAGTTCTTCTTCATCAATCAGTTTTTCAATTTTCTTGTTTAGTATTGTATGCGTGTTCAGTAGAACTATGAATGACAACTCCATTTCTCCTCAGGTATCTTTAACTTTCATCCTTTATAACTATCCTCAACTTTTAGGTTCAAATTATGTGTGTTAGATTGTTGAATAGTGTAAGCGAAACTATGGGTAAACTAGAACAGCAAGGAGATGCGGTAACGTGAAATCAACAAAATAGTTTTGAATTCTTCTTTTTTCAGACAAGAGATGTTTTATTGTCCATATTGGAAAGTGTAGTGATTAAGTTGAAGTTGATTGCAACATACCATCTACCTCAAATGTTCAAACTGTCAAATATGGAGGGCGAAGGAAAATCCACTGAAAAGAGAGAGTAAGGAAAACTTTTTTTTCTCTTATTAACTTTTGCTTTGTTTAGATATAAGTCAATCACTAAACCTTCAAAGCTCAGCAAAGACGATAGCCATTTTGGTCGAAGAGTGTCTCTTGATACCGTTATGGATATTGAAGATTCTTCAGGTTCCTCTTCTATATACTGTATTTTCTCAACGTTTACATTTGTAGAAGTTATTCCTGAGATGCCGCTTTCCACCAAGCACGGAAGACATACATCTCCTGGACAGATTCTAACTAATTTGTAAATAGGTTAATTAATCATAAACTTATTCCGATATTCAGATGGACCATCCACACACCACCTCTATCTGTAACAGAAGCCAGAAATTTAGTCAAATATATCATGCAAACATGCAAGTTTTGTACCGCACAGCTGGTTGGTTCAAGACGGAGTAACGGTATGACATTTTTGTTTCCAAGTTCTATTTGTTGTTCAGTTTCTATGAGTAAAATGAAAGAACGAGATGTCTTCGAGCGACTCTTCCTTTATTCTACCCTGTGCATGGAAGTTTTCATTTTGCCTCTCTCACAACCTTCTGGTCGAGCGAACAACAATCAGTAAGTTTTGTGAAATGAACCTGTTTTTAAAAAATTTTTCAAGAAATGCCAGCTCAAGATCAAAAGAAGAGAAAGAAGCATTAGAAGCCATGGCTGCAGTGGTAAGTTGAACAACTATTATTCGAAACTCCTTTTTTTAAGTTCACCAGCATTGATCCAGACATCTTCCGAGAGTTATTCGCTAAGTACATAGATTTTCTAATTGAAGGAATTCATAGGTTTGAATTGCGTGGCATCTCAGTACTCATAATCACTTTCAGAAATCCTTCAATACAGATGTTGGTCAACACTTTTCTTGTCAGAGCGGATTGGTCCTGTAAATTCGGAAGCATTTTGTTAAAAAATCTGATGGAGAAGCTTAATGCACTTTCAAGTTCAGATATTTTCCAGATAACAAAAAAAAACGAATCTTTCCAGTGAGTACCGATAAAACTGGATTGTACGTGAAATTATTCAAAATAATCTTTTCTGCCATCGGATGTAGCCAACCACAGTCCTCTCCCGACGGAGAACTCATGCTGAAGGTTTTTTTCCCCTTTCATATGTTTAATATGATTATCTCTATAGCCATACCTCTCCGACTTGATCAGAAAATCAACCGAGTTTGCTTTGCATGCGAGAGAACCTCTGAATTTCTTTTTGTTATTGCGAGCTCTCTTCCGATCTATAGGAGGCGGTGCTCATGATATTCTTTATGTTCAATTCCTCCCTTTGTTACCAAATTTATTGCAGTTTTTAAACATGCTCCAGGTATATCATTTCTAGTTTTGATACTTATTGAAAGCCATATTTAGTCATGCCCTCATAGACAACCAATGAGAGAACTTTTTTTGGAGCTTTGTCTTACAGTCCCTGTTAGGCTGTCAAGTTTGTTGCCATATCTTCCCCTTCTCATGGATCCTCTTGTTTGTGCTTTGAGCGGGAGCTCATCTCTAGTTCAACAAGGGCTCCGAACATTAGAACTATGTGTTGATAATCTACAACCAGAATACCTCTTCGAACATATGGCTCCAGTTAGAGGAGCTCTTATGCAAGGTTAGCATTCTCACCGTCATCTCCTTCAGTTGATTTCTTCAGGGTTGTGGAGAGTGTTGAGTACTTCTACTGACATGAACTCGGCTTCCATAGCATTCCGAATTTTAGGAAAGTTCGGAGGAGCTAACAGAAGAATGTTAAGTGAACCTCAGGTTAGATATTATGAGAAGTCAGTGGTTACTATTAGGTGTATTTCAGCAGTTGAAACATGTACTCCCCACAGAGTATCAGTCTGTTCTCACCATACAGTTTGATCGTGCCGAACCAAACAGCCAGCCTTTGCTAGGAGAGCTTTCGTTATCGGAAATTTTGGTAGTCGCTGTAGAGCAGATGAAGTAGCTTTATTAACGTACTAATTGAATGTAATCTTTTCTTCTTAGAACTTGCATCGTGCCTACTGAAGCAACAACACCAGGAATGCCTATAATGCCTTCACAATTGGCACCCACACCTAACCCTCCCCATTCTCAAATAATACGCCAACATTGCATGGAAGTAAGTTTTTGATCGTATATATTCTTTTTTTTTTTAATTCACGTTGGTTTTCCACGTGAGCTTCATTTAATGCAACAGGATTGTTGAATGCGGTCTACTTTTTTTTTAAGATTGCTCATGGAGTTCTACTTACTGGTTTGGGACCTATAGGATCTGGCGATGATTGGAAGAGTATGTTTGTTGACAATCTGAAAGAACAATTCAAGGTAATCCACCCTTTATTAAATTTTACTTATAGTTTTCAGATGATGGAATCTACGTCAGTTGGTGATGTACCCGTCTATAAATGTATCAGGAGTCCTGATCGCAAGCTATTCGTTGACGCACTCAGTGTTCTATTCAGTATGTTGTTAATTTCTTCTGTTTACTTTTTTTTCTTTTCAGTTGGAGTTGTAGGCAAAGATCTGCGAAATCAGTACTTGAAGTTCTTCAATGCGGTCGTACGGCAACTAACCATTCAAGGAATTCTAGAATACATATGTAAAAACCTGAAATGGTTTTTTTTCTCATTTGTCTTTTTTTCAGCTCGAGATTTATTAACAGTAGATCAACTGACAGCTTTCTGTCTTGACGCATCTGTATTGGTGGATGCTTTAGTTGCGGTGCTTTCTGATTCTAATAAGGATTATTTACACTCTGCGATCGTTGCATTATGTCATATTAACGAGACATGCAAAACTGTACTACCAAATCCTGATACGGTTTGTAATTTTATTTTTCCGAGTAGACCTGTATATTCAGTTCATACGCATTCCAATGGTTCGTTATTTATTGGAACAAGTTTGTACTCTGTGCTATGGACCTTCTTGGTTCTCCCGTTTGGGAGGAGGCAGCGCGCTTAACTATATGATTGAGAATTATCCGTTACCTTTCTTGAAATCTAACTTGCACAAGATTGTGAAAAGCTTAGTTGAGGTACTAAACACTCTATAGTTATGTCCTCATGACGCGTTCTTTAGGTGATTATTGGTTTGTTAGATGAGATTTCGTCTGGTGCTGTAGACATGGCTCTCAATTCTCTTCTAGGCTTGCATAAAAGAGTTTTTGTGGTAAGTTGATGGAAAGAAATCTCTCATTTACTTTTCATTAAGGTTGATGATCTCCCGGTCGTTGAAAAGTGTCCCATCTTTGTTCGCGTTTATTCAACCCTACTTTTCCATCCGTGTGAAGCTGCACGGGCAAAAGGATGGCAACTCATGAACAATATCGTATCTCTGGTTGATTGTAGTATGAAAGATGTCATTGAGCGTTGTGCTGATGATTACTCAGCAATTATTAGTTAGTACATTTACTCATCCTGTTTCAACTAGTCATCATTGCAGCTAACACATTCAAAGATTTCCAAGCCATGTCAATGACGAACAAGATTTCGGCGCTGGACTCTCTGTACTCTCTTTATAAGGTGTATCCTGAGATAACGAAACTAGGAATTCACAACGAGATCGCTCCTGAGTTCCTTGGGTTTGTTCTGGATATTTGTGGGACGGACATACCTACACTGAGTGCGAGGTATGATACAGCATACGTTATTGGATGATTCATATTATGCTTCTTTAAGAGATATCTACAAGGCCGCTGAGAGTTGTCCTGCTCATTTTTTGCCTCCTTACCCAATAAGCCAGCAAATGGAATCTATGAGAGCTAATGCTATGAGTAAGAGTGAAAAGTTTAATTGTCTTTTCATTTCGATGTTATTAGGAATCGCTCTTGCTTGTTATGGTATTTCGAGAAAGTCCTCAGCTGTAGAGGTGAACAGTCCGCTGTCGGAGACAGAGAGAAAAATCCTTCGCTTGGGGCTCGATTATTTGTTGGACGGAAGTCCAACTTCAATTGAATCAGTCCGTCCCGCTTTGATAGACGTATGCGATTTTTTCACTTCAAACTAATATCGGTTTTCTCATCAGGTTGCACCTCTACCTCCCTACTTCATTAAAGAAGAATGTGCGCAACTGTTCCAACGTTTGAGTTCTGACACAGAGTTCGAGTCTGTTGATGTTTTGAAGCTGTATGAGATCACTCGTCTAAACCCCGATGCCTTTACTAAAGAGATTGCTCAGAGCATTGTTGTATGTTTATTCTCTTACTCAACTTTCTAATAGCGCATAAACAGGATCACATTTGCCGTTGGGAAGTACAAGCAGTGTTGCCAGATGATATCCCTATAAGAACACCAGAAGATCTGGAAGCAATCCATATAGCTTTCAAACTTTTACTCATGAGCGAAGTAAGTTATTAATAATGCATCTTGAGTTAATCCTTTTGTTCAGGTAACTGAACCTCAGATGGTGCATTCTCTGCTGTCATTTGCTGTGTTTTTTGAAGCAAATTATTCCATTGATGTAAGTTTCTAAATTCGCAATGTATAACTTAAATCTAATTTCAAATTATAGGGTCCCATAGCTTGGATTCCTGTGTTATGTGAACTTTTATCTAAATGGCCAGAACAGTCTGTTAAGTATTTGATGAGAGAAGAGTTCTTCTTCAATTATGCAAATGCTTCGTACATCAAGAAGATCATGAAGCAGGACGAGTCTGAAAAACTCAGGGAATACTTCTGTAACCATACTGAGTACTTCGAAAAACTTCTGGATCATTTCTTCATGGTAAGTTCTGAAGAAACAATCAATCTTACGTAATTTTACTTTTAGAATAAAGATGGAGAATGGGTGGAGTCAGAAGACAAGACGGAATTGTCTCTAATGATCCGAGAAGAAACGACATTGTATGTCTTGGATACAGTCTCCCGACAAAACTTAGTTTGGTTCACAGGCGCTCATGGTTTAGTTAATAAAATGAGACAGGTTTTTAGATTTTCTTAACAACTCATCAAAGATGTTTTTTTTTCTAGCTCTGGAATTCCGCTGAGTTCAAGCTTCGGTATAGCGTTAGACAAGGAAGTGGAGATAGTGAAGATCGGAGGCAGATCAAGGTCCAAATGACACCATGCCAGAAATATAAAGTTCCAGCGTTGATGGTCAATTGTTTCATACGTTATCTCAGGTATGGCACGTTGTCCGAATAAAGTGAAACATAATCATGTTATAGGAGAAACCGTGAATACTACGATCTGTTGTTCGACATACTGTTTGTGTTTGATAATCCTTATGCAACTGACTTCGGTTTTCTCAAAGATTTCATCGAAAAAGAAATAATACCGGTTAGTTATGGGTCCTGACCATATTTGCTTTATGAAAACGTTTCAGTGCTGTTCTCTAGCTTGGAGACAGGAAATTTTCAACTTAGTCCTTCAAAAGTTTGAAACTCAAGCAGATGCTTGGCAGAAGAATACTACAATGGCTAGAATAGTTCAGTATCTTCTCATCCCATGCTTACACTGGGCCTTTGAAAGATATAATGTAGATGAGGTATGTTTTTTCCGGTCGTTTCTATAAATATGATGTCGTTGAAGGTTTTGGGTCCGGCACCTCCTGCCAATGATTCTCTCGACGAAGACCCTAATAGTATAGTTTCTCGACTCGCTAGCATGCTAGATCGCAACAGAAGCAATCTTGGTGACAAAAACGTTATTGTGTTCTACCAGCTTTGTACGCTATTGGTGGAATACGCTCCAGAACACATTCACAACAATGCTTGCAAGTATGATCTATAAAATTTATTTTTTGTTAATTCCGTACCATCTCAGAAAACAAGGTAGTCGTCTTCGAGTTTTCATGCTTTTCGCCTGGCCCTGCCTGACTACTGGATCCCTAGCCGATCCCACCCTGAGATTCACGGGATTCCTTTTCCTTGCTCACATCATAGATCGCTTTACAATCAACAGAAAAATTGTGCTACAGGTGGGAGTTTCGAAAATAAATTAGGTTATCCAACTCTACTTACAGGTTTTCCACACCTTGGCTGCTACTTACCAGATCGACAACCGAGAGCAAGTTAAAAGAGCCGTAGACGTACTGACTCCAGCCGTTCCTATCAGAATGGATGATGGACATCAACAAATTCTAGCAACAGTGAAGAAAATATTGCGAGAGGAAGCTCATAATCTTGTTCAAACTCAACATATAATGTGAGCACATAAGCGTATTACATTTCATGCTTATTTTTTTTAGACAAATGATCATCCGTAACTACCGCGTGTACTACCATATAAGACACGATCTTCTTCCAACACTGCTGCAATCTGTCCAAAGAAGTATTCAAGCTTCGAGTGGATTGATGGAAGGGTATGTCTACATCTCGGTTACAGAAACAATTTCGGTTTAGTTTCGCTGCTCGAAGGCTAGGATTAGACGTTTGTGAAATGATCATCAAATGGGATTTGTTACGTAATAGAATGCTTGAGAACACTGGTGGAGAAGCGCAAGATGAGGTTAGTTTTTCTCTTTTTTTCTGTGCTGAAAATTGTGTATGTTTGAAGGTTGAGAGTGTATTGGAAGCCTTGAAGTCATCAGAAAAGGATGAGAAGAAAGAGAACTCAGTACCTGAGCGTCACTTTTTGAGCATTAATCAAGAGTATCTGCAAACTGGTAAGCTATTTCTTTTTAATGGCTTTCACTAGATTCTTTTAGTCAAAGAAAGAGAGGATAATAACCTCAAAGCAATATCCAAGGAACACGTAGATACCGTGGTAAACATGCTGCTCAAGTTTGCATGTTCAGTGAGTTTTTTCCATTTTACCTCTAATTCAAATTTATGTTTGAGTTCCAGCCAGCTGCAGCAACAAGTCATCAAAATTATGCATCCAGTGCAGTTGAAATGGCGAAGAGAAGTTTAGGCTTACTCCGTGCAGCTTTGAAACCCGTAGTTTGGGGAGAAACAGTGACAATCCGTGTTCAATGGTCTCATAATTCATTCAATCCTTTTATCTCATGCTGACATTCAGGATCGAACGCCAATTGAACATTCCGCCGGACTTCACTGTTCCTAGACAGGACCATCATCCACCTGCTCAAAACATGCATCTTCAACAAGCTCAGCAAACTCTCGAAGTTCTTTATGGCTTAACTTCTGTTATGGTTCGTATCCAAAAAAATATCTCATTATAACTTTTTTCTCTTTAGCCCAAACATCTTCTTCTACAAGTAATCAGACCAATCCAAAGAGCAATTATATCCTGTTTGAACAGCAACTATCCACCAGTGAGTTTTTCCAGCTCCTTATTAATATATATTTGAATTGTTCCAGCTCGTTCGTACTGTGAACTACTTGGTTGCCCGTTTGTTCGAGAAAACGAAAGTTTCTGTAGCTGGCTTAGACGAACTGGAGATCTTCAATCAGTATATAGCAAAATACTTGAATGACCAGTTCAACAACTTTTTCAAGTTTGTCACCTCCGTACTATTTTTTTAATTTTTTCAATTTTGAGGTCTCCGAACTCTTCGTTGCAAAGCCTGTTCACTGCATTCACAATGCTGAGATCAATCTGTAGTTATCAAGAGGGATATTTGGACTCGGTATGCCTGCCAACTTTCTTGAAAGTTTTGGAGAGAAGTGTACGTGAACACTGCTCTATGCAAGGAGTACAAGACTCATCACGTGAAAAAGGTTCAGTGTTCCTCCTACTCGGATGGGTTATATAATCTGTCTATACAGGTCACGCAGAAGTTATTTCTTTGGCAATGGAGCTATTGAGGCCAAGAATTGATGCAGTCAGTCTGGAAAACAGAAGAATAATTTGTCAAAATGTTTTACTCCCATTGATGGAGAAGAGTAATTATGAAAAAGTGATTGAGGGAATAATCAAAATGACCCAAGCACTTATAATGACTCATAAAGACGAAGTTGGTTCTATCTTGTGTAATTTGGAGAGTATTATTTTTTCAGTTGAAAGGCTCTGCTAACCCTGGCTTACCACTTGCCGTCAGACTATATGTCCTACTGGGGAAACGCTATAGATATTCTCCTGCTGTTCTGAACAGCTCGTTGATGAACCTTTTCCTTCAACTGGCATTGACTATCTTTGATAATAAGTTGTTCTGTTCCTCCGATTATGCTACTAAGATGGAAGAAGCATTCTACTGGGGTTTGATGTCACCGGTACGTTGCTGATTCGATTTCAATATTTAATTTCCTCTTCAGGATGTTGAGATACGTAACAAGTTCTTGAACGTTTGGGAACGCAAAGTGAAAGAAAAACCCTTTGTTTTCGATAGACTTCTGTTTTTGATGGAAGAGCAAAACTGGAGTAATTTCCGTGAATACTACTGGCTTAAGCATGCCCTATGGATTCTCTTGCGAACCATACCTTTGTACACGCCAGAGAGTATGCACAAGAAAGCTTGCTTCATGACTACTTCAAACTTTTGGCAAACTCTTCAACGTGTTGGAGGTTTTAAAGATATTATTCCTTCACTCGGGGCTGTTAACCTGGCTGGCTCCATACCATCATCTAGAACTCCATCTGCGGCTGATGTAAGATTTTCTATTAACTAATTGACGCATCGTTTTCTTCAGGGTGAAAGTTTGGAAAATGAAATGGAAGTGGATGACAAGATCGATACGTTATTAGTGGAACAGCGTAGTTTGATATCAGAGTCTGCTTGCTTTGATATGGCATCTCAAATGGACAGCATCACAGGTCTCATCTTCAGCGTACCAGGTTTCAAATAGAATCTTCTTCGAAACGCATTTTTTCGCTTGCAGATACAAAGTATGTTGCGAAGATTTGGACTCAAATGTTCTGCTCTTTATGGCTGTCTATGACACTTGTAGAAAGAAAACGATGCTCGGGTTTGAAGAAGCTCAGCTATATTGTACTTACATGATTTCTTCAGATAACTTGGAATCATTCTTGTCATCTGGAACTCACAATCATCAGACCAATGCTCCTCACTCCGTTCTGCGAGCGTGGTTAGAAGTTGTTAGCAGATTGTATCCTGAATACAATCTTCCCCCAAGGCTGATTCAGGTTGTAAACTTTGTTTTAAGGTTTTTGAATATTTTTTCTTTCAGTTCATAGCCGGTCAGCACCATGGTTGGCATCGTGGAGCACTGATGCTTGAGAACGCGGTACTGAATTCTCAATGCCGTATGGTTGGCCCAGATGGTATGCCAATGGAGCAAACAGAAGACCAAAAGGTTTCTATTCATCTGACTTCGAAGTTGAATAGCTTCTTCCAGGAATCTCTGTATCATTTGTCGGAGCTTTATCGTGATTTGGATGAAATGGATCAATTCGCTGGAGTCTGGGGAATGAAAGCATGTCGGCGAGAAACACACATTGTTCTAGAGAAAGTGCAAATGGTATCAATTTAGAATTCGGTGTCGTTTCTAATTATTCTTCTCAGGGAGAGCATAAAGCAGCTTCTGAACTAATTGAAAACATGCTAGTTACCGTTGGAGAAGAGGTTCAACAGAATCATGCAACCCCTACTGTTGCTGAAGAGCTTGAACTATTATTCGATGTTTACACTACGTATGAGATAACGGAGAAATATATCCTTAATGATTCATTCTTAGGTGTTGTCAAGAGTTAATGGAATGGGAGAAATTAAGAGATTTTGCTAACAGCACAAGCACTCAGTCAGCAAAACATCTCATGATTGCTGCCATGCATATTCCTGATCTTGGAATTGTGAAGGAGTGTAGAGACCAGGTTAGTGAGGTGTTCATATTCGTATTGTAGAACTATCTGTTTTCAGCTGAGTGGGTGTGTTCCACCTAAATTTGCTCATACTTATTCTATTTACAACGCGATGCTTAATGTTATGGTAAGTCATACATATTAGTGCAGAGTACATCAAATCATCAGACTCCTGACTCTTCTGAACCTGGAACACCTAGTGCCAAGTCGCGTATGGAACGTGCGCTAGAGGAAGCTACCACAACGCATATCATATGGTGGAGATCGTTGCCTTCTATCGTAACAAATGCTCATGTCAAAATTCTTCAAGTACTCAATATTTATTTTATTCAAAACATAATATATTCACAGGCTATGAGTATGATAAGAGAAGTCACAGATTGTACTGAATTGAAAACTGCTCTGGACTCAACTGGTAATGTTTTCAACGGGAACATTCTGAATGAAATGAAGAACGTTATCAAGATTTGGAGGTCAGTTCCGAAAAAAAACTTTCGCATGAAATTTGTTTTTCAGAAATCGTACTCCAGGATTTTCTGATGACATGCTCTTCATCAGTGATTTGTATAACTGGCGTTGTCAAGTTCATTCAATGCTTGCTAAACGATTCGAAGATTGGGAGAGGGGAGGTGTCTCTTTACCTCATGGCACAACTTCTCAAGCTATCCTACCTATCCACTCGGCTGCTCAAGGACAAGTTTTCATTGCACGAGCTGCTCGCAATATGAGACACTTTGATTTGGCTATTGAACAACTAACGAGGTCCCTAATGTCTGTATTTACTGACTGACTATGATTTCTTTAGATTGCATACTATGGTGACAGTTCCTCTCATGGATGCTCATTTCAAAGTTTGTGAACACATCAAAACTTTAAGAGCCCAAGCAGAAGACCCTGAAACCGATCCAAACGTTCGACTGGACCTTCTGAAGCTGGTACTTTCACTTCTATTTTATTTTCAAAACGTTTTGTCTAGGGACTGCATCTCATTGACGAAGTCAATATCACTGACTGTCACAAGGATCAAATATGTCGGTTATACACTATGAAGGGCTCTCTACTAAGTCTATTAGAAATGTATGATATCTGTTTATTCAATTTATGCATTCTTCTATTTTTCAGGAAGGATGAGTCTAATTTGGCTTTCTCACAAGCCGGTCAGTTATACGAAGGTCCCAATTATACACCGGGAAATACGGGAAATGTCTTCAAAGCTTGGGGAAATCATATGGATCGACTTTTCCACGCAGAAAGGTACTTTATCAACTCGTTCCTCCTCACACGTACTTTTTTAAGAGATGATGTTAATGGCTTAACTAGTGGAACTGGTGCCATCGCTTGTTTCTTGGAAGCAGCCAGAACTGAAAGTGAGCCGAAGGCTAGGAAATACATCGCCAGGTTTTTTTGTTTTCTGGGGAATTTTTTATAAGTTTCCTTTAAGATTGTTGTGGACATCTAAGCTTATGGCTGCGTGTAGTCCTGCCGCCTTCACTCGTCTTGAGGAACAGATCAAAAGACATGAAAGAACAACTGTTGCCTACAACTGGTTGAGCTGGTGAGGCGACAAATGGAATTTACTTATTGAATTATGAATTTAAGGATCCCTGAATTACTTTTGGACATTCAACAAAGAAAAGAGTCTCCGTTCCTCTTGATTCTGGCGAGGGTACGATAACTAATTAGCAAATCAATGTAACCTTTTCTGACATTCAGATCGCTCAACAGTATCCAATTCAAGTATTTTATTATCTTCGATCGGTTGTACCAGCGGATGTCATTTTACATCATATCGATGCCGGTTCGAAATAATTTCAATTTTTTTGATTGATGCTGTTATGTTTTCAGTTTGTTCGGGACTCAATCCTGAAGTGAAAGGCAAGATTGATTGCGATGAAGACGTTGTTGTTCTTCTACCAGTTCTCAGAGACGTAATTCTTGCCAGACCTACTGATATTAGAGTAACTTGAAGCTTGTTTATTGTTCATATTAGTGTTCTTCTAGGCTTTCCATCGTTTCTTGAGTGAACTCGATGAGTTACGAGAGTTTTGGGCTGAGAAACATTTCAGATATGCCAATCAATTGAAATCAGAGATTCTAAGGTGATACCTCTTCATAAGTTTTGCGCAACAGCCGATTATTCAGATGCTTAAATGAGCAGCGACATGTGCCTCAAAGTGAAACAGTTCTTGATCAAAAAGCTTTGGATTTCATTGCTATTTGGAAGGAATGCGTTAATGCAGAAATGCAAGGCTGCATATCTGAAGAGTTGCTGGAGTTCGTTCCTAATGAACATAGAGCTCAGAGCAAAGAAGCATGCGTACGTATTTTTTTCTCTTGGTTTGCATATCATTCTTCAATACAGTTTGTTCGTGAAGCTTCTCATGATATTACCACTCTTCTGGATGCGCCACCTGCCCCAGGAAGTCTCTTGAGGTTCTTGGAAGCTGTTCTGAAGATAACCAATCGGCTTTACAAAAGAGTGAAACGTCTTCCAAAGTATCCATTTTTTCCCTATCGTTGTCTCAAACTCACTTTCAGGCGTATTCCTCTTCAAATCTTGAGTGAGTTCTTGACGAACTTGAATCACAAAGTTGCTTGTGTTGAAATGCCATCAGATATGCTGAACGTCTTGAAGGTGAGTTCCACTTCACCTCTCAATCTAATTGGAATGAATCTCTTAGAATGGACAATACGTCTCTATGATTTCGCGAATTGATCCGTACATCGAACTCGATTTTCATGCAGGCGAAGTTGTTCGAAAGATGTCCATTCGAGCACAGACCGGAAAAATCTGTCATTACTACATCCGACGTTCTGTTTGTAAAGACCATAAGATCAATCGTTGCCAACAGTACCTCAACAGTCTCAATGCTCTTCTTGCCAAAGAGAGAGAGACTAGCCGTCGCCATCTATCCGTATATTGTCCTACCCAGTTGAGAGTAGGAAAGCATTGCTCATTGATCGAAACTGCTGGTAAATCAATACCGATATTCTCGGATATATCCCTAAATTTTCTAGGTGTTGTTGCCAACACAGCCGAGGCTCCTACCACTACATCTCCCATACTCCATCCAATGGAGATTTTATCAGAAACTCTCGTGCCTTTAGGTATGAGGCCTGATGATGTAATAGCCATGTTCTATGACCGATTGTCATCGATGTCCGAATGTGGCATACCAACTGTAGATATGCGAGCACGCGCATTCAGGTGAGATAATGGAGGAACTATCAAATATTACTCTCACTTTTCAGCGATTTAACTGTTGATGAATTCATCTCTTCAGCCATTTTAGTGCGACACTTCTTAATTTCCTATCCAGACCCCACGCACTACTACATGGCGAAGAAACAAGTGAGCACAATCATTCTCTTATCTGGATCATTCTTTCTCTCTAGATTGTACATAACATGGCCATACTGTTTATTGTTGAATGGCTAGCTAAGTTGAGTCCAGTTGCCTTGCAAGATATTTGGATTAACAAGTACACCGGCCAGTTCTGCAATCCTGATTACACTTTCGATATTGATATGAAAGGTTTGTAATGGTAACATCGCGTTCTTCAAAACGTCAATTGCAGATGAAGACCGTCATGTTCCGTTCCGACTCAGTCCCAACTTCAACATTCTCTTTGGACTATCTGTCGGAGGTAACTTTTTTTCTCGTGAAATCTTTTTTAATTAATTTGTCCTTCAGGAGATCTGACTTGGTCTGCCAAAGCTGTAGTTAAGTGCCTGCAATTCCGTCGTCCAGAACTAATGCTACGTCCAATGCTGCTAGACCATATCTCTGAAACTCGTGGAGGAGACAAGGTAACATCATTCCTCAGCCCTATTATTCTAATTTTCTGTTCAGATGGAAGTATGGAATTTAACAAACGACTTCGTTAACAAATTCCTCGGAGAAATAAAGAGTGAGTTTACAATCGTACTGGAGGACATTTCAAATGAGTACTTTAGATATTTCGTCGGTTCACAGTGCGGCCACGATGCGAGATGTACCAGGATTGCTGATCTGGGCTGGAAGACCGGAAAATCTTTGTAACGTTAACCCAGCACTTCACCCATGGTTCTAATACCTGTTTGTTACGAATTTTCTAAAAGTCACAACGTATTATTTATTTACACTTGTTCTTGTGTTGTGACTTCCGTTCATACTCAGTTAATCTACGTGTATTTTATATTTCTGGTGGTACACCTCGATCTCATCTCATTATTGTTTTAAGTTGTATTAATAATGTTCTTAAGAATCATTTTATTTTACAACAACGGGTCTCTCTCTATTGTAAATGTATGTGCTTTGCATAAATATTTAATCACTTGCCAGTTTCTCAGCTTTCAACACACTCCAGGTTATCGCCGTCGCTTCATACTCTCGTCTCAGAAATTCAAAACAAAAACACTGATATTTTTAATCATTTATGTTGTTAAATCGTTCCTTCCAAGGTTCTGTCAACAAGGTCGTTTAGCGGTTGAGGTCAAGTAGCTGCTATAACGGTTCTCTCTTAATTTGAGATCCCTGTTTCGTCATTATGCGGCTTTCAAAGTAATTTGTAATTTATAAGAAACTTTTAAAAGTCATTTCTTAGTGACCGTTTCGGTCAAGTCACTATTACTTCCACGTTTACACGCACATTTACGTCATTCACGTGAAAGACGTGGCACATTCATTTTGAACAAAAGTGGTTTGGTTGACAGGTTGTTGCGAGTCGCCCATTTTCTTCTTCAACAAAGATTTATAAACATGAAAGTAAGTCAAGTTTCTTGTTTTTCATCCTCATAATGCAACTCTTGACTCATTGCCAAACCTATTGGCCATAATTTTTGATTTGAGACATTAGTTTTACATTCCTTATTCTGCTTGTCTCTTGAAAATGATTTTATGCTCAGGTTTACAGCATAACTTGCTCATGCGCCTGGTATTTGCATACATTGTTTACAATCTTTGTTTTATGCTAATGAGCCTACTGATTATCATTTTGAATAACTAACGCTTATGTGTTTGGCGCCATGCCAAAAGCTGTCGGCATCCTCCAGCTCTCATTGTTTTTAATTTTCAATTCTATATTTTCGTGATTTCTTTTGATTGTCGCAGCTTTCTTTGTCGTCGTATTATTGTCTGCATTTATAAGCTTACATCAAGTTTTATGCTAATTGTCCCATTTATCTAACCATATTTGCACATTCACAATCTCTCAGATCTTTTGACTGTTTTCTCTGTATATTGCGCACAATGTGTTTATTCGATCATCATCCTTTTTATGGATTATTCGCCTTATATGACCCTTTGATGGTTGTCATCAATTCCTCTGATACTTCTAGATTCACACATCTTTCATATTTGCCATTTATCAACTTTCGTCGTTCATAACGTAACGGCACTTCACTGATTTATATGTTTGCTGTAACTCAGCTGACATCATTATGTCCTATGGCTTCATCTCCAAAGGTTATTCTCATCTGCACCACCACCGTTTCGCTCTCACTTTCCTTGAGCACTCACTCCCCTCATAGTACCTCCTCTTTTCATCATACCTACTCTAATTGTATCTTTCGAACAGAAGATCTTATATTCCTCCACTTCTGTTATTGACCGAGAGCTGTCATAGCCTGATCGTTCGTCTCGATATGGCATTCAGGCTGAAAAGCGGCCCACTTAGAAACAACTTCCAAACTTTGGAGAACCGCGTATCTGATACGAAGGTCTGAATTTTCTGATTTGGGGTCGCGCAAGGACCAAATGTAGATGAACATCAGATTGTTGAGAAAGATATGGAATGACTTACAGATTGACCTTCTTTACACGCATGTTATCCTGCTTAGGGCTTACCTCACGTCTCAAATTGTCTTTTGGCCAGCCGACTGCTCTTTTTTTCCGCTTCTCCTTCTTGCTATTGTTCCAAAATTTTTTTTTGCTGCTTCCATCTTTAAAACATCTGGCAGTTCCTCTACTTGGGCTTCAGGGCGATGAACTTTCCTACTTGTCTCTTTTATAGTTTATATTAACTATACAATATTTCATTTTGTTTATGTTAAGGTTCACTAACGTTGACCATTCTGTCTGTTATGATGTCGTTGCTCTCACACACTATGTTGCCATTCATTCACTATTACCGTATTTACTTCATTATTTATTTTACTTATCTTTTTCCATATTCTCCTCCTTCTCCTTCTACCTCTTCCTCCTCCTCCTCCTGTCCTCCCCGTCCTCTAGCGTCCTCCTACACTGACCTTTTGCATTCATTCGGCTTATTCTGAATCTCTCATTTCTTCACACAGATTCTCATCTTCAGTCATTTTTTTTCTTTTTTTTGGCTCACCATTAGTATTCATAACAATATAATGCTTAATGCTAGCTTATGGCCTAGGGAATATGGTGATTGAAACTGTATTTTAATGTGATTGATTGAAGCACATCCTCCTCATGAACACACATAATATGTATTAAAAGAGAAAATGAATAGAAGTTTACTCTTTCTCCTCCCACACTCCCAGCTTACTTCATTCATCTCATACAAATCATTCATTATACTTCTGATTTGTTCTCTTTTACTATCCTTTTTTACCATCCCTCCCTCTATCTCTCTCTCTCTCTCTCTCTCTTTCACACTCCTCAGTCTATGTATGTATATACACACATTTATATATATATATATATGTGTGTGTGATATATGCGTGCTTCTCACTCTCTCACTCTCTCTCTCTCTCTCTACCTCTCTACCTTTCCTCTCACTATGTTAACAGTTTCTTTCTTGTTTTGATACAAAACCTAATAATTGGGGTCTCCATTATCAGCTATTAGGCTTAAATGATAGCCGCCCAAAGCAAACATTTTATCGAGAGAACATGGAAAATGAGCAATAGATTCTCTGATGCTATAACTGTGTTACTCCCAGGCTAACCTTTACTCTTCCAATCTCTTTCTCTCTCTCTTTCTCTCTCTCTCTCTTTCATTCTCTCTCTACCTCTCTGTCTCTCTCTCACTCACTCACACACACTCTCTACTCTTTCGTTTTTTGCTCTTTTTTTTTTTGATTTGATTAAATGGTTCCTAAGAACATATATCAAATTGATTGTGTTAGTTCAACAGGGGTTTTCCGTTTCCATATTTTGTTGTTTAAATAACCGTATGTATTGAATACTTATGGTGTGAATGAGAATGAGCTTACAATCCTTCTCGACTTTTCCATTTTTTTCCACTCTCTCGTCTGCTCTCTCTTCATTTCATCTTATCTCTTGTACTCACGGCCAATGTATCGGAGTGTTTCATATTGGCACAGGTGTTTTCACCTCCTTTTTTCTTTTCTTTTTTGTTTCATCCAGCGATAAATAAACGAAATTTTTGTCGCTTCCCTCCTTTTCACTGATCATCCTCATTAGTTTGTTTAAGCTTTTGCCTTCTTAAGCTAAAACGAGCAGCAGCAGCAGCTAGAAAGACAGTTTGATTCATGCAAGCATGCCTCGCATCATATCATTCAAGATGTACTGCTGCAAATCTGTACATGATGAGCAGCACTTGATTGAGTAACGAATGATGAGAGAGAGAAACTAGCAGCACTCATCTGAAAGTCCTCAGAGGGTGAACACATTGAATTAGAAAATCACCTGGCGCACTCTGTTCATTCCTTTCACATTTCGTTTTTCTGATATTCATAAGGCCATTCCTTATTGAATTTGAATGAACAAAATATGTTTTATATTTGGTTTTCTCCATATTTTTTTTCTCATGAATTATGGCATCTGTTCAGATGATATAATAGTCTTTCACTTATACTCGTCACTCTATCTCTCTTCTTCTCTCTCCCTCTCTATCTCTCTCCCCCTCTCTCTCTCTTTCTCTCTCTATCCATATATGCATGGCGATAATAGCTTTTATGAAGTGAATAACCTTTCTTTCTTACTTTCCCATATAAGGCGTTTTCATGTGTGCTTCTCATCATCTCATCTATTCTCTCTCTCTGCTACATTGACTCATACACCTTCGAGAAATGTTTAATCATTTAAATATTTGTGATAATTGGAATCTTTCCAATCTTTGTTCAGTTCAATAATACATATTACCCTTTTCCTATTCTTTCCTCACCCTCTCTCACTCTCTTTCTCTCTTTATCTCATATTATCTCTCTCTCTCATGTTTTAAGCCAAATATGGTAGTTATGATATTTCTATCCTCTACCGATCCTTACTTATCTTTATTCAGCTGGTTGGGCGGGTCTGATGCAAGACTCTACTATAGTTTAGCCTAAACAAGCCCCCACCTCGGTGACTGTTAGCCTTCTCTATCCAATACTCTTTCCATCTCTATCTCTCTCTCTCTCTGTATCTCTCTCTCTTACAATATTATAACATTTTGAATGTTTCATTGTGCTCTTCTTTTTCTTCCTTCTCCTCATTTCATACAATTTTCTCGTCTTTTTTACTTCCCTCTCCCTCTGTCTCATATTCTCTCTCTCTCTCACTCATCCTTTCCATTGCCTATTGGACACGCCTACCGACCACAAAGAACATGGCTTCGATTGCTTACCGTTTGAGCTTGATCCATTGTAGATCCGAGAATGTTCAGTTCATTTCCGGATAATTCATTTGATTCCTCCTCGCTCATCCATCGTTGTCTTCCTCTTCTCTTCACCCAAATAGGGAGATGAAAAGTAATTTCGTTAGTCATTTTGCCATAACGGATGAGTTTCTTGTAATATTTCAATAGAACACTCTCAACACGGAAGACCACCACTGTCGTCTCGTTCAAAACATTTTTTTTCATTTTTTTCTTCCATTCAATGCTAGTTTTGTTTCATTTTTTTTGCTTCCTGCTCTTTCTAGTTACTACTCTGCGAAGACAGTCCCATCAGAAGAAGAAAGCCCCCCACCCCCCATCCCTTCTTGTTTCACCTCTCACTTCCTGTGCTGCGTCTCATTCCTCTTCCTCTATACACCATATTCAGTTGTTTTCTTCATCCTCTTTTTTACAGAAGAAAATGAGTTTGTTCTACATCCTTTGCTAGTCTTCCTATCTCTCTCTCTCTCTCTATCTGTCTGTCTCTCCCTCTCTCTCTGTCCCTACCCTTGCCACTCTCTTTCATCTATAAGCTATTTTTCTCTCTTTATTACTCATACAATCACATACATCAACTAGTATGCTTTTTTTCCATTTTCATTCAATATCATTTTTAAAAAGAAAAAATAAAAGAAGTTTTCGCCTTTCTTCTATTCGAGCAGTTGATCTCTGCTTTTCTACTTCCCCTCCATACCTTCATACCCCCCCTCCCTCATTCCCTTCTCTCTCTAACCTCCTTCACTAACCTTCTATTCGTATGTTATTAACGTTATTGTAATATATGGGATTTTCTATGATTATTATCATTGTTATCTATGTATTTTACAGGTGACGACCAAATGATGGAAGATGATTGGGCTCCGATCCTCAACAAGGATTGTTCACTCTTCTCGTCTGCTATGCCTCTCAATGATGATTTTCAATTGACAACACTGGATCCACCATATCTTACAAATATCAAAGCTGAACCTCAGGAAGATAGTGGTATGTTCTCTTTTACATTTTTCTTTTTTTGTTTTCGTAACACACACACACACACACACATTCATCTTCGACCACTTTTTCTATCGCATTTCGTACTCCCTCATTACCTCGTCGTTAAGTATGAGAGGTAATCCATTACTTCGTCAGCTACCTCTTAGTCTCATTACCTAACAACCAGCTTAATCTCCAAGCAGACTCCTTGACTTCATTCATCATTTTTACTTCAAAATGCTGTGGGGAAGCGTTTTTCCTTTCTTAGCATCTCCCCCTTATTAGCTACTTCTCGGATAGAAGGAAGTTTTTTTTTTTTTGGTTCGAATAAAATAGGGAACGGCTATCGATTTGTGGTCTCGAACAGTGCTGTGCAAATTGGCGAATAAAAAGAAGAAGCTCGGTCAGCTTTTATCGCTTCGCTTTCACATTTGAAATTAGCATTCAATGAGGGACTGTATTGGCTAGTCATGCGAATGACAAGCCGAAACAGAGACGTACTTAGATGATTGGAAAAAAACATTTCTGAACTATGACGACTACATGTTTGAAAGATTTCTTTCATATTGTCTATTTATGAACTTTGACTAGCTGCTTGGCAACCTGACTTTCATGAATTCTTCCTTCGTCTACCTCTCTCTCTCTCTTTCCCTCTCTCACTCTCTCTCTCTCTCTCTCTCTCTCTCTCTCTCTCTCTAGAATCTATAACGGGATAAAGGGGAAGTTTTTGATTCAAAAATTTATGAGGAAAAACGACGAAAATTAATGAACAACTCTCGATGGATACTTTATAGTTTATAAGCTTCATCTGCCTCTTATCAATTGGAATGATTGCTCCGAACCGTTCTCTGACCTCTGCCCGTGTATTTCTGCTTCTCCCTCTACTCTCTGTATCTCTCTCTCTCTCTCTTCCTTCTAATCGTTTTCTCTTTTTATTATTTTCTCCGATGAAAATAGATAAAGAAATGGAGAAAATCTGTGGTTTTCTCGCAACTCGCTTGCTTGATGATATCCTATGAAAGAGTGTCATAGTCTCGTCATACCGTATAAGGAGGTTGTTGAGGGACAGAGGAGAAGAAGGAGGTGGTGTTGAAGAAGGGGGATATCTGATTTGAATGTGGGTTTCATAGTCATATTCATTTTATTATTTTAATTACGAGGGAAAGTTGTTTTTTCGAATCTCATCTCTCCCTCTCTCCTTCTCTCTCTCTCATATCCTCTTTCCCTCTTAGAACGGTTCATAAGATCATAAGATGGCTATGATGTGCTCTGCTTCGTCCCTTCACTTCTCGTCCTTCCTCACTAATTAGGTGGCGCTCTTTGTGCTCTCAAAGACGAATGAACCTTTTTTGGAAATATTTTATGGCTTTTGCATGTGTTGCCTATGAAGCTACTGTTACCTATAGAAAAAGATAAATAATCTCTTGTATTCTAATTATCTTTTCAATTAGAATTTTCTCCTTATTTGTTACTAATGAAAGTTGTCATCTTTGTGTAAAAAGATAAGATGCTAAAGACTGCTGATAATGGATGAATTGAGAGTCCGGTTTAGTGCCAAGTTTGAGAAGTGAAGCTCCTTCATCAGTTCCATACTTCTTCTACTAACAACCACCCTCATTCAAGCTTCTCAACTATCCATATTGTTAATGGCCTAATAGAACCATGGACGTATCATTATCATCATCACCAGCATCATCTGTCTTATCATCATCTTCTTCAACATCATCATCATCACCGTCAACTTCATATCTTGCTAACTCATCATCTGCACCAGCATGTCTTGGTCCTATAGCAAGCATGCCATTACCATATGGATATCAATCATCTGAACCTATACCATGTGCTGTACGCTTTGCATTCATGGGTAAGTTCACTTGAATTAACTATTGAGAATATATAGCTTGAACCATAGAAGGGATTCCCTCGTAACGTCATTACTTCCTCACATCTCTCTCTCTCTCTCTTTGTGTATCTCTCCATCTCTCTCTCTCTCTCTCTGCAGATCAACTGGTATCCCTCATATCACACTCTTTCTTTCTGTTTTACAGTTTTTTTTATAATTTTTCATATCAAAAATCCATAATTAACAACTGGTTTTTCTCGTTTTTTTGGTTTTCATCTCATTCCAATCATGTGCCATCGAAATTCAACTTCTGTACTATTCGAACCTCTTTTCACACCTTACCTCCATGTTTCTCTCTCTCTCTCTCTCTATTTCCCTCTCTATCTCTCTTATAGCCTTCTCTCTTCTTCTTGATTCTTTGTTAATCTTTTTGTCTCTCAGAAAGGTTACATCTTCATTATCAGCTTGTTTCTCTGTTGTAAGCCTTTTCATCGATGCTCTTTCATGTTAACGCTGGCGCATTGCCAAACAGAGAAACATAATGGAAAGCAGAAGAGTTCAAAATCTTCCATCTAATGCTCATCAGTCATTTCACGTGAATATTTGCTGTAATTTCACTCTGAATCGGATGATCATCCAATCAAACTTGATCAACTTGTTCAGATTGTCCACCTGTTTCATACATTTTCATTCATTCCAATTGTTCCTTTTTTTTGTATTGTGTTTTGTTTAAACAGAATTACACCTGTAAGTGAAAAGCTTAATGTTTGATTAATTTATACTAATTATGAGCTTTTCCCCAAGCTATTTCCCTGTCTCTCGTGTATATCTGTTCATACAAAACACTTCTCCCCCTCTCTTCCCCCCCCCCACCCTGTATCTATTGTATTGCCTTAGGCAGATCTGCCGTCTCTCTCTCTCTCTATCTCTCTCTAACTATCCTATCTCTCTCTCTCTCTCTTTTAACCCACTTCCGTTAAAATATTGAGAGAGAAGAACAAAAAATCAAAGCTTGAAATGGAAGTAAAAAAGATGGATAACATTTAGTTAAATAATATCTCTCTCTCTCTATGTGATAACACATTGAATAACGAGAGACGCAGAGTCATAGAGTATATGTGAAGGTAGAGAGAGAACATCTGAATGACATACAGAGGAGAGAAAGAGAAAAAGAAATTCAAAAATTGAATAAGGTTCTTTCTTTGTCTCTTAAAAGAGTTTCTCTCTACTCTTCCAATTGTTGGTTGATAACAGTTCTCTCTTACATGCCTTATCACCTAAACAGAACTATGTATTTACTCTCTCATACCTGTATCTTATCTCTAACTTCATTCTCGCATTCTCGCACTCTCTCTATCTCTTCCTCTTACTTGTATCTCCATGATTGTACCCATGTATAACCGTTCTCATCGGCATTTTTCAATTAAAAGGAGCAAAAGCATATTTCATTCAACGCGTAACGAACGATTCAATGACGTATGCTAATAGCCTGATAGGCTCTATGACTGTAGACAAGCCCAATTGATGTCCATTTTTCATTTTAGAAAATGAAAAAAAACATAAGAGAGGTTGATGGGGGGGACAGAGGTGTTATCGAGAGAGCATCAACATATGAACTTGAATAGAAAGCTTAAAGCTTCTCATTCCTTTTATCAAAATCGATGAGCAAGTACCCAGGCTGACCTTCTTCTATTTGTTTTTGTAAAAGTTGAAGAAAGCATTCAAATTATCGTTGATATCTTGTTATACGAGATGAATCGTTCGAACATTTTTTGAACAAAAAAAAAGTTTTTTTTCTCTCTGTTTCTTGACCTCATTTTGGTTTTTGGGAAGCTCATCGATTGAATAGGGCTTGTGAGGTTACTGTTTCCTCTCTGTCTTGTACTCTCTCATCTATATCGTTTACTATCTCAATCCATCTCTCTTTCTACTTCATTTGTTTATTAAAAGATTTCCTTTGGATTTATATGTCAAACGATCTTTTCAAACTGATTGAAACCCTTAGATAGCAAAGGCTTTCACCTAAATTCTCCATTTCGCACCTAACTGCCTCCCTCCTCTGTCGGTTAATCGAAGGTCATTAGAATGGTTGAAGATGAAAACAAAAAAAAAAGAAATGAAAAGAAAGAGAGAAAAAGAACTTTTTCCTCTCTCTTTCCATATTAGCTGTGTGCTTGTGTATATGTATAGAAGTATAGATGATGATTTGCAGATTACCACGGATCGTCTTCTGGATCGCCTTCGTCATCACTTTCATCGCCGGATATGAAAGGTGATCATCTGGGCGTTGATTTATCTTTTGGACAATTTACTCAAACAAATGGATTCTTACATAGTCCAGCTAGTTCCAGCGGGTTAGTTCTTCTTTTTTCTTTTTTTTTTCATTCATTTTTTGAAAAATCAAAATTGATTTGAATGGAGATGATGAAGAGCATATGAGTCGTATGCTCTCATGTCCTTCTCTCTATCTCTCTCTCTGTCACTGTCTGTTGTGATTCAGTCGAATACAATTCGAGAAGTTTGCTGAATGGCTTTGCCGGAAAGAGAACATCAAGTTGTTATCTTTAAAAATTGAAATTATGGTGATTGACAACAAAGATCACTCACACTACAACTTATTAAGAGGGAGAGATAAAGAGGAAAAGAGTAAGGATAGATAATGATGGAGGGAGCAATGGTTGAAGAAGATATAGAAAGTAGTAAAGGGTAGTTGAATAGAAAGAGAGAGAGAGAGAGAACTACAGAGAGAGAGAGAGAGAGAGAGAGAGAGAAAGATTGGTAATGGCAAAAGTACCTGTTCAGACTTATTCTTTAGAAACTTCTTTTATGAAAATCCAAAATTGATTGAAAAGGTGGGATCGCAAAAGATTAAAATATTTCATTTCTGTGACAATCTCATTCAACTAGAATTTTAATAATCTTCTTTTTAAATAATTTTTTTATTAAATACATTATCTATCTATATATATATATATATATAAATATATATACATAGTATATGTATAGGATGTATGAATCTCTCTCTCTCTCTCTCTCTCTCTACCCCTCTCTATCTCCCTCTCTACCTATATATCCATAGATAGATGTATGTGTATCATATGTATGTAATAGAGATCTATATAAGGGCAATAGAAGAAATAATGTTTTTTCATCATCATCATCATCATCATTCAATTACAGAAGCCCATTTGCTGCTATGACTTTTCCTTCATGTGCTAATGCTGTACCGCAAACAAGCCCATTACCTCCTGTCAGCCATTTTTCTCAACAAAATCAAAATCAACGAGTAATATCTAATAACAGACTGGACACATATCTAATTTATAAATGATTATAGCTTATGCATCATAGCCCTATTGGTTCCAATTGTCTCATTCCACAAGATGGTCTGTCTCTCTTTGACGGTAAGAGTTCATTCAAATGATTTGCTTGTGTAGAAGAAGAAGAAGTAGAGCCTAGATGCATGCTTCTTGATATTGAACTTAATTAATATTATATTCTTTCATTACTTTTCTCTCTCTCTATCTCTTTCTCTCTTACATAGTACTCTATGAAGAGAGGGAAAGTACAGAGAGAGATAGATAGAGAGAGAAAGAGTAAGAGAAATTCAAAATGAATGCTTTCTTGTTGCAGATGATCGATCGCTCTCTCCACCAACATCTGATCGAAGCTCCCCAATGGATAATGTTTCACCAATGATAAACATGCAATATGACAATGGCTTCACCGTTATGCCAAACGGTATATTAAATATTTCTTTTTTGTGATATACGGAATAGCTCTCTTTCCATATATAGACATACGTTCATGTATATCAGGCGTGTATGTTTCAGGCTTAATGATAAATGGACTTCAAGCAGCTCAACAACAACTAAAATCTCGAAGTAAAATGCATGAAATGGCTGTGAAACAACGTTTGATAACAGATCAAGTCAGTTTTATTTCATTCATTCCATACCCCCAATCTCTCTTTCTCTCTACATATCTCTCTTTCTCTCTCTTTCTTTTTAATGCTCTATTGCATCTCTCTCTCTCTCATGCTGTCCAGCTCTCTCTCAATCTCTAGTCAGTCTTTCTTCATTCTTATACCTCTCGCCCATGTCAAAAACGAACTATTGTGTTTCGGTTGTTGACGTAAATTTCCAGATTATGGCCCATACAACGTTTTGTGAACATTCGAATTACGAAAATGATGTTCAGGATCCTCGTAGTCAAGGATTGGTTCAACTATCTGCTGAAGAGCGACGAACTCTCATCCAAGAAGGTTATCAAGTTCCAACACGTCTTCCCTTGACTAAAGGCGAAGAAGAAGCTCTGAAGATTGTCCGCCGTAAAATCAAAAATAAATTGTCAGCTCAAGAATCACGTCGTAAACGAAAAGAATATATGGACACTCTGGAACAACGTTGTCAGGCTTACTTCTCTGAAAATGCTCAGCTCAAAAGTACTTTTCTGTTTACATTTCTATCATTCTAACCTTTCTATCGTTTCAGTGAGGATACGTCAATTAGAAATTTCCAATAAACAACTGAATTCTCAAATGCAAAAGCTTCAAGAAATGTTGGGAGGAACTTCTGATAGGCAGTAACTGTGTGAGTTTAACTCTCTCTCTCTCTCTACACCCTGCCATCCTCTCTCTCTCTCTCTATTCCACTACAAGCCAGCCCTTTGCATCTATCTGTCATACATCTTACAACTCTCGTTTACCTATTAATGACTTGTTTGTTCCAGAAATTCGCCTTTCTATCGAGCCATGTTTGATTTATTACATCAGACTGATGAAATTCAACCGAAACCCCACGTTTACGTTGTACAATTCACAGTATTCTCGCCGGCGAGTTGTTGCTTTTCCTTTTTACTTGTTCCCCTCTCTCTTTATCTATTCTTCTTCTCTCTCTATCTCTCTCTGTGTCTATTCCTCTCCCTCCCTTTATCCCCATTCGACTTTCAAAAGGTTATTTTCATCAATATTTTCATATGAATTATGAAACTGAGTCAGACATCGTTCGTTTAAAGGTCTGTTCCAAACAAAGCGTGTAAAAGAACATTTTTCTTTGTATTATTATGAATTTCGTGTGCATTCCTCCTTCAGCGGGATGTGCCATTCGACCGTCTCCTTGCAACACCCTCTCCTCATCCACCAACACATACGTATACACTCCATACCACATATACACCACACATACCACATACTCTCTCTCTCCTACAACACACACACACATCCGATATTCCTCGTTAATCTCATTCCGTACCGAAGGAAGAAAAATGAAAAAAATATTTATCAATTATGAGTATAAGCAAGCTTTTATCTGATACAATTGCTGGAAAGCCATGTGCATTTGGGCGTTTTACGAGTTTTTTCTCCAAAAAAAAAGTTTTCTCAAACAGTTTCATCTTCTCTCTCTCTCTCTCCTCTCTCTCTCTCTCTCTCATACCCTTCTCGTCCACACATTATCGTTTCCTCTCCCATTGGTCGTCTCGAAAATCTGATCTATTATACATTATTATTTATATACAAAGAGAATATATTATTTGTATGGCATAATTTTATATTTCCTTATAGCCTTTTGTACCTTTTCAAAGTGCAATTGAACCCCTGTGATTACAATTTTCCTTTCAAAAATAACTTTGTTGGTTGTCGCGTTTGTTTAAAATTGTTTTCTTCTTTCGCCCAAATATGCATTTTTAGACGAAGATATGTGATAGATAATTGTATTATTTCTATTGTTATTATATAAATTTTTATTTATTAAAAGTCATTTCTTAGTTTTGTTGTCAAGAGATCTTTGGGTCTCGACACGATTCATGGAACACACACACATTACTTTCAGTTCAAACAATCACGAGTCTCTCCAGGTAACTTGGCATTAAGGTTTAAAACTCCAATATCAAAGATTTTCTGAGCTACTTCTCCGTCTGATACGAACTCGTCTGGAATGTGGATCTCAACCTTTCTCCAGCACTCCTGCAATATGATTACATGAAATTGACGAGTTGATAGAATGTCCGCTTACCACAGCTTCATCTTCACAGTTGTGGTAGATGTTAAGCTTGGGGTCAATGGTAGTCCATTCAGTATCTTTTCCGTGAAGTTCGAAAGTTCCTTGGCCGTTTGATAAGCCTTCAGCCATCAAGGTGTCCTTTACTATAATTTGCAGACGTTTGCTAACTTCAATCATAGACACAACACCAACCTGGATCAACTTCATAGAATTTGAGACGAGCCTTCTCATAAGGCTTTCCATTACAAAGTAATTTGCCTTTTACAGCAGCACTTTGAAGTCGTCGAATTTGAGGTAAAGATATGCAGACAGCAAGAAGCGGTAAAATCAATAAAATTAATAACTTCATAACTGTATAGAATGGATAGGCGTTGAATCTCTCAGTTCAATACGGAAGGCGCAACTACGTAAAGGTGAAAGAGTATCGTTTTTTATTTGAATTTTGTCTTTATATATGACAAGAGACGATGAAATGATTTGTAAACGAGAAAATGACAATGCCAATTTACACTATTAAGGAAGAGAAATGATCTCTATCTTTCTTATTAAAATAATATTTATTGTTCTTATAACACAAGGTTATTTTATGACCAGAGAAGAAGAAGTTCGGTGTGTCCCTTCTCTCTGATGAGATTTCAAAACAAACGTCTTCTTTCTCTCTTCTTCCGTTACCATCATCACGTCTATGCTAGATGGAGTTGATTGATGAAACTTTGTAGTCTTACAGACAAAAGACATAAAAATATGAAATGATTCATTTTCACTTTTTTTTAGAAATTACCAATCACACCCTTTTACGTTTATACGCTGTTTTCTGAAGTATGGACTAATGCTAATTAGATGACCTAATTACAATCCAAAGTTATTTTAGTTTCGTCTGACTCATAGAGCGGTTGTGTTTTTTGATTTCTTAGATTATAATTCGTTTATTAATTCATTAATATTTGTTTTAATTCAATAATTGTATAACCTTATGTGACCCGTTTGAACTGGTTTGTTGCGCGATCTGTTCAAGCATTATGGAGCTTAGGGAATGGATAATCGAACATTATGAAATCGAAATAAAACATTTTCGAGATTAATTGTAGTAGATCGGGAGAATTGTAGAGTTCATTCTCATATTGTTGACGAATGGATGACCCATGAGTTGTGTGATATGTGCGCCCTTCTGAAGATTAATAGGTTCATTTTCTCTTGTCCAATCAACTTACTTAACGTCTCCTTCTCAATGATTTTCCGTAATGGCTCCTCAACTCCATTTTCTTCTAATATTTGCTGTAAACTGTCAGACATTTTTGCGATTCGTTGACCATTTTCGTATCGTATAAAACGATAAGATGAGAAATATTCATTGAAACGGCAGTACCTGAAATACGATTTTTTGAAAAAAAAAATGTTTCAAAAATTGTTTCGCGTCTTCATCTCTGAGAGATGTTTCAAAGATGATTTGAAATCTTTGAAGATCACCCAATCTCATCCCCAAAAAAGCATTTTATGACAGAAGTCGCGAGCCATACCATGTCTGAGGTGCGAAATGGATGTCTTCAAATCCCATTTTCTCCTCTCCCAGCTGGCCCATAGTGTAAGCTTTGAAGCGATTGTATTGAGTTATTGTGAAACAGTGAAGATCTTTGTTGCATCCATAGCAAAATCCTCTGTCAGCCTCACTTAAATGATTCGTGTAAGAAGTATAACCCTCAGCCCTCAGTTACTTTACGCATTTATCCACGAAACCACTAATGAACCTGTCGACTGGGTCTCTGACTACAGCGAAGTTTCCAAAGTTTGGTTTCAGTTGCTGATGAACGGCTTCTATATTGAAATATTCATTCTTATTGCCACATGACCTTAAATGGAAATTGAAAATGAGAATTTGTTCATTTAATTACTTACATAGTGTACCAGTCCAACTCACTAATGCTGAGATTCTGTTCCAAGAAACCCGGAGTGTCGTAGAGCACACAGAATATTCCAGCGCGTAGTGTAGACAAACTCTTCTGTATTTGACATGTTGCGAGATTGTATTCTGGGGCAATCTTAAACAACTTGATTGCCATTACATAGTTCCATTGAATCGTACCCGGTAATTCTCATAGAAGTTAACTAAAGGTGCCAAAACTTCACTGCTGTTAAATGGGCTCGTGTCCCAGTAACGATACTTGTTGAGCTCTGGCGAAATGTTCTGAGAAAAAGCTAAAGGATAGGTCGACTGTTAATATGGGAGAAAGTAGGAACTCACGATGGACAAAGTTTGTGGGAGGGAAACGTAAATAAATGTAAAGGAAGAAATAAGCAACAATTAAAGGAACGAAGGTTGAGTCAATGGTGAAAAGGGCAGCCATGTCTGAGATGCAATTGTTACTGAAACACTTGGGTGTGAGATCTTATTGAGAATACAGAGATTGATAGATAGCTAGATTCGTGTTTCGACTCTCAATGAGCAATAAATATCTTAACAAGCTTGGAAAGTACGAGAATACATGTAGCGATGATCCTGTTTGGAAGAAGGGTTTACCAGAAGATGTATTGATACGCTCGCTTTCCGGGAATTGAAAGCTTTCAGACTGTTACTGTCCCGCCGATCGCTGTGATCTCTTCGCATTCTTGTCCAGTCTGGCGGAGGCGCATCTCATGTAAGCTTAAGACATGTTCCAATAATATCTGATGGAACGCAAGAGAAATTATTGGAAACTCTTGCTTTTTTCGATCGTCTGACTCATTGCGAACTTTTTCTAATCGCCCTCACCCATGACTACCCAACTGTTGTCATCAGTTTTCTATGACCTACCTTTATAAGACAATAAGCTATCGTCTCTGTCTAAATACCTCTCTCATTGCGAGAGTTATCTATGTCTGAGAATCTCTTTAGCCATCTCTAATATTCACATATACACGAAGCTCTTGTTGTTTCAAACTGGTTGTAACAGGTGATATCGCTAACGTAAGTGCAAATCTAGTTTCTCCATCGCTATAGCTCATTATAGATTGAGTCAAATTCAGTTCTTTTGTCCGCCGCGGTATTCCCCCAATTTAAGATCAGCATCACTTCTTCAAAGGCAGTCTATGAATATTCGTTTTGTCTGGTTGGGAACCTGGAGAGAATCTGCTAGAATTGGTTTTTCTGTTAGGTTATCCTACTCAATGGTTCAAGCCATAACATAGAAAGAAGTTTCATGTGTTTCACTAATATAAATCTCATTTAGCTGCCCGTGTTAAAAACTCCGAGTTCAAGAAATCAAAATGCTTTAACCGAGATAATTCTTCTTGAGATCTTGTCAGCCTTATTTGTTCCAGTCAAATGAACATGGTTTTTTTGAACGCGGAGAACTTTATGACCGCCTGCCACATAGATGACATATTACTGTTTCTGTTTAAACCGAAAAAAAGAATGAGCATAGATTTATGAAGATTTTCCAGAGAGTAAAACTGTCAAGCATGCGGCATCTTTAACAGAGCTCTCGTTGGTCTCATACACTTTCGAACTCTAGGATTACCGATAAGATCTCAGATGACGTTTAGAACAAGTCTTAGGAATTGCGAGATTTGATATGGAGACATTCGAGACATCCAGACTGTCTGAACAACATGAAAGAGTTGGAATCAAAGGACAGATAGAGATCATGAGCTTACGCATTTAAAACATCACGAAACAGCTTTGATATCTACGAGAGACGAAGTCTTGTCAGTCAGATTACTATTTCTCAAATTTTAGTTCATTTCTATAAGAAATTATTGAACTTTATAGAAAGATCGCGCTTTCAGTAAATCACTTTTGACATCCAAGATCATAAGATCAACTTTGAGCTTCTCTTCCTTTCTTCGCATGTGCACCGGAATCAGTGATAACCCAGACATTTCTTTCCTTGCACTGTCTATATTTTTCTTTAATATATAAAAGTTCTGTACGGTCTCAGGCGGAATGCTACCGTTCTGGACGGTTTGAGTCGGAATGCAACCGTTCTGGACGGTTTGAGTCGGAATGCAACCGTTCTGGACGGTTTGAGTCGGAATGCAACCGTTCTGAGCGGTTCAGGATAGAATGCAACCGTTCTGGACGGCTTAGGTTTGAATGCAACCGTCCGGTGCGTCTGAGATGGAACCCAGACTTGGCCAGGTCCCATCCCAGGCTTGTGAGCTGATGAGCTTTTCCCATCTCTCTGGAGGACCTCCAGAGAAAGAGGAGTGGAGCTCATCCGCTCACACCGCCAACTGACGTAATTTGGCTGCTCCACAT